ACCTCTTCATACCGGAAGCTGCACCTCTGTCAATCATTCACCACTGGATTATCTGAAATAATCTGTACTCGAGTTTCATGTGCAACTTTTATGGATGATTGGCATCTGACAAGTTTTACGACGCTGAAAATGTTAATATCCATACAGTCTATGCCTTGCGCTTTAAAAGTCATTGTTCTGGGTCTAATGAATCAATCTTATTCAACACTTGACATTCTTGCCGATAATGCAGTAAGTTGTAGTAGATTTTGAGTTTTATCTATGACGCGCTCTTCAAGTTTTCCTCTTCCATAATCTTTCGCTGAGGCAAATCCATTTATCGTTGGACCGGTTCATTCTGTAGAGTTCAAAATGACTCATTACTTAGAGTTCAAAATGACTCATTACTGATCGTCAATGGAATAGCGTGAAGCTAAGGTACACTGAATATAAACAATCGAATTCAATGTACATGTGTATGACTTTTTTTTGGTAACACTTCCGGTGTCACAAAAGGTGACACAAAACTCGCGTACTCCCGTGATTCCTCAAAAAAGAAACATTTGATTGAAAATATTTTCGGACTGCATGCGTGCAAATTCGCCTGATTACGTGATTTTTGTGCGCAGTGCAGGATGCGCAATGCAAATCTGGCGAATGCTGCATTTCGGTGTTTCTGATAAACAGGTCACGCGGCCGCTGCTAAGCCAATCAAAATGGAAAAAATACTGTTCTAACCTCCTGTACTCGCAAGAAACTCAACTACAACAGAGGCAAAGCCGCAATCTCGTGTAATTGACTGAGACTCTACAACACAAAGTGGTCTCCTATCTTAGAAATTGTATTTCTTGGCGCTTTCAATAGGCATGACTTAAAGTATGAAAATGACTCAATACGTTCTGCATTGAGTTTTTTTTCTTTGAAGCAGTTTACCAATCATCACCTTATAGATGTTTATCTTAGGGTCAGAACAGCGATAGATCTTTGAAAATGTTCCCCCTCCCATGATCCTTGTGGATAAAAGTGCAATTTTAGGGTAGAGCCTAAGTTTGTAAGATCCGGTGGGACAGCCAGTAACACAAAATAGACTAATTTAAATGTACTTTGCATTTCCCTTTTAAAGCAGGTATACTAAAGCTATCAAGAAAATCTCAAAGATCAAATCAGACAAAGTCCAACATAAAATTTGAAAAGAGCTGTTTTAGAAAATATCAAAGCTTTCCTCAAGAAAGAATATCGAATATTCCTTATTGGAAGGTTGTCTTATCTGACGCCAAAATAGTGTGAAAAAAAGCCCCTGCCCTCCATGTGAGGGGCTAGGAACTATAAATTGAAAATTTTGGAACTGTAAAATTTGTCGCCAATTTCTTTTATTGGTTTTTGTGTTATTTTTTTTTCTTGTGAGAATTTCTTCTTTTAGACCTAAGAGGGTATTGGTTGTTACAATAACTGTAACCATGTTATTTGGGTCGCAAAGGGCTATGAAATGCTGATTGTTTCAAAACTATAACTGCATCACCGGAGTCGCCAGCCTATGCTGGCAAAAAAAGCAACAAACAAAAAACAAAAAGCACCACAATTTATGCTGAAATCGAATTGCGTTTGCATTTCAAGAACTGTCTTTTTTAAGACTTCATTAACACTTTTAACCTCTTAAGTTTCTTTTCTTGCAGTTTCCTTTTCACTTCAAGAACTGCCCTTTTAGGACTTCGTTTTCACGCTCAACGCCTTTCATTTTCCTTTCTAAGGCACAAACTTCCTCTTTTAAAGCTTCAAAGTCACTTTTAAGAACACTTAATCTGCCACAAATGTTATCCTGAATATCTCGTCGTTCTTTGATTTCCTGATTCTTATTTTCCGCTAACTTGGACTATCTAATGTTAAGTAACTCCACTTCCACTCTTAGCTCAGATTTGGATGACTCGAGTGCTTCACTTATCTGAAGCTGAACCTCTTAACTCAACGTTCCTCTCAAATCAGCAAAGGTTTTAGAGAAAGCCTTCACCTCTTGTAGAGAGTCGCGAAGACAATCAGGGACATCTAGACTCTCAAGACAAAAATCCGTTCCTGTGAAGATATGTCAAAAAGGAAGTTAGTCATCAACTGGTTGATGTAGAGTTTGCCAAGTATAAGTTAAGAGCACTTCATAGATGAAGCCACACGTAACGATAAACTTCACTTTTTTTTTTCTTTTTTTAATCGTTTTGTTTGTTCATAATGCAATTTATAACAAGCACTATCTTTCAAGCACTATCTTTCATTCCTGAATAAAAGAAAGCAACAAGTTAATGTGAGTGATATTTACATCCTCAATAACACAACCAGTGTGTGTATATTCAATATTCAGTTTTTTAGATGAGCTCGTGGGCTTTGCACACTTCTTACTGCTCCTTTTAAAGGCAATGCCTCCCTTTACTAGACAAAAAGTAGTCTCCTTTCTCAACGGTTTTTTTTTTTTTTTGGCCCTTTCAGTATGGGTGACCAAAAGTTCCAAAATGAACAATAAATTTTGGTTGAGTTTTTTTGTTTTGTTTTTTTAAGGTAGTTTACCAATTACCACCTCATGAATGTTCATGTTAGGGTCAGAACAGTGACAGATCTTTGAAAATGTTTCCCCTACCATGGTCTTTGTGGATAAAAGTGCCTTTTTTAGGGTAAGGCCTATGTTTGTAGGACCTGCTAAGACAGCCAGTAACACAAAAGAGACTAATTATATAATGTAGTTTGCAGTTCTCTTTCAAAGTAGGCATTTTAAAACCTCACCCCATCCATAAAATATAATCTTCAGGACTCTATTTCTCCGTAAGCTCCTTTTACCCTGTAAATAGACGTTAAGAGTTTGTTTGGGAAAATGTAATTCTAGATTTATTCAAATAGCCTGAACTGAATCTTCTTTAAGATGTTATATATACAGATTTTTTTTGTATGCCACTAATATAATAAGCAGTCGAGCAGCTACTCTTAGGATCATGGTTTGTTTGTTTGCTCAGTTTTTATTTTTGTTTTTTTGGGTTTTGTTTTTGTTTTTTTGCTCTTTTAGTTTTTTTCTATTCAGTTTTTTTCTATTCAGTTTTTGTTTTGTTTTGTTTTGTTTGCATAGGTTTCTATGTTTTATGTTGTTGCTTTTGTTGTTTCTTTTTCAGCATAGGCTTGCGACTCTGGTGACGCAGGTATAGTTTTGATTAATTAGGAAAAAATCAGAATTTTTTTCAGTCTGCGACCTAAATAACATGGTTACAGTTAATGTAAGAATCGATACTCTCTAGGTCTAAAAGAACAAAATTCTCACAGAACTGTTTATGTCAGTCTGACTGCAAGGTCGTATTGACTAAACCTTAATTCTTTAATAATTTAAGATGGCTCTGAATCGAATGTGTACATCTATTTTAAAACAAATAGCAGTAAAGGGCGGTCTCATCCTTCAAAGCGCTTCGTTTTACAAGAGTCCTGGCTATTTCGACCTGTTTTCGCTCTTAGTCTGTTCCAGAACTAGAGCAAAGAGTTGGCGCGTTAAACGCTGTCCTGAATCTGTTCTTGCTCTCCAAAAGTTGCGTTAGTTGTTCTTAGCGTCTCGAATTGTGTTTGAATTTCAAGAACTTCGTTTTCATTCTCAACGTCTTTCTTTTCCTTTAGCTTCATTTGCATTTCAAGAACTGTCTTTTTTAAGACTTCGATTTCATTCTCAACGTCTCTCTTTTCCTTTAGCTTCATTTGCATTTCAAGAACTGTCTTTTTTAAGACTTCGTTTTCATCCTCAACGTCTTTCTTTTCCTTCAGTTTCATTTGCATTTCAAGAACTGTCTTTTTTAAGACTTTATTTTCCGTCTCAACGTCTTTTTTTTCCTTCAGTTTCATTTGCATTTCTAGAACTGTCTTTTTTAACACTTCGATTTCATTCTCAACGCCTTTCCTTTCCTTTCTTAAGGCACGAACTTCCTCTTTTAAAGCTTCCTGGTTACTTTCAAGTGTACTTAATCTGTCACAAATGTTATCCTGTCCATCTCGTCGTTCTTTGATTTCCTGATTCTGATTTTCCTCCAACTTGGACTGTCTAATGTTAAGTGAGTCCACTTCCACTCTTAGCTCAGATTTGAATGACTCAAGTGCTTCACTTATCTGAAGCTGAACCTCCTCGCTCAACGTTCCTCTCAAATCAGTAAAGGTTTTGGAGAAAGCCTTCACCTCCTGCAAAGAGTCGCGAAGAAAATCGGGGACATCTAGACTCCCAAGACAAAAAACCGTTCCTGTTAAGATATGTTAAAAAGAAGTTAGTCATCAATTGGTTGATGTAGAGTTTGCCAAGTTTAAGATAAGTGTACTTCATATATGACGAAGCTGCACATAGCAACTAACTTTACCTCTTTCTTCGTCTTGTAATATTTTTGTTTGGTCATAAAGCAGTTTAGAACAGGTGAAAGAGGTAACCTGTCCTTCCGCGTACGATTCGTTTCGCTAACGACCATTTCGCTAACGTCTTAGGTCGTTTCGTCATAATCTTAGAGCAATTCGCTAACGTATTACAAAACGTTTAGTGATTCTATCGGCAGAACTTGATCAACTTCTAATCGACCGAAAATTCGTGGTGGGAGTTAGTCGTTTTAAGGAAAAACTGAAAGTCAATTCGCAGGTCGCTGTCAAGCTCCCGGCTCAAGATTTCTGCGCGCTTTAACGTCTCAGGTTGCTCTCAATAACTGTAACAGTGACTTATAGGAGAAAAGATAATTTCTTGTAACTCAAGTTTGTAGTAAGTGTCGGTATTTAAGAACATTTCCTAGCCTACATTCAGTGTGTTAGGGTAAGTTGTTCTTTAACATATAAAACAAACTAAAATTGCAAATTAAAACTAAAGAGACGACACTGAAATAACTCAAAACGTTAGCGAAACGACCTATGAGACGTTAACGAACTGACCTGAGACGTTGGCGAAACAGCTGACGACGTTAGCGAACTGGCCATTAGCAAAAGGTGATGTTTCTTAGTAAATGACAGAGGCATACTCCGAGAAAAAAAAACTCCCAGGGCTCTCAATGGGAGTCGAACCCATGACCTTTCGATTGGTAATTCAAACGCTCTACCACTGAGCCATATGAGACTTGTGAAGCTAAACCGTTTAATTAGGTCCATTACAGGCAGCCTGCAATAGGTTATGCCTATATGGAACGAAACTGGAACAAAGTAACCCTTCTAATACCAACATGAAGTTATACAATAATTTAAATAAAATGTATAATCGCTAACTGTATTCCAAGTTACAACTTAACAAATATGAACCAAAGCTATCTCTGATGGCGAAGTCAGGGGATCCTTTACATGAGCAACGCAATAAATTACACTTTTTGACGCGAGTGGATCCTTAACGAACGAAATCCTTTCTCCGCCTCATTATAAGTAGATATCGATTGCCAAGAGAGGTAGAGGCTGCTCTAACATCAATTCAACAACTATATTTCTTTTTAAGCTACCCTAACATACCATGCTTTTTCCACCACTGTAATCTTTGCAGGATCTGCGTGTTATCCGTCCAATCAGGAAATTCCACCGATATATGAGAAACCAAATCCTTCAGGAACTTGAAGCAATCAGTATAATACTTATTTGTCCATTTAGTAAAGTCTGGATGTGCCCATTCCGTGCGCACGTTAAAGTTAACGTCTTTTGCTGACTTGGTAACACCAGGCCTGAATAATCCTTCATAGGAGAGCACGGCCAAGGCAGCTGAAGTATCGAAGGAGTCATTGAATGCAGTGAATTTTGCCATGAAAGGTTGAACCAAAAGCTTAGCCAAAGACACTGCATCCTCAACTTTGTAATCGAAGTTTTCAGGGTCTCGGTGGTCGTTTCCGTTTATGCTCTCGTAGTTCAGATCTTTCCTGGCTCCTGGAAAAATCTTACTCAGATATTTTGAATGGGTTTGAGTGTCTATGTGGTTCTTCCGTTTCTTCGAATCGTAGACTGATTTAATTTTTTCAGCAATTATTCCTCTGAGACGTGGAATGACGACAATATGGAGACATATACTTATAACTAACCAACGTCGCTTATCCTGGGACACTTCCGCAGAGGTAGGAGCCATCTTTCTTTTTATAAAGCTGGCAAATGTTCTCTTTGAAAACTTCTATGGGAAAAATAAACGTGCATATTAAAATGAAAATATGTAATTTGATTTCTTTACTGTGGAAAGAGTCACTGTGGTTTCTGTAGGTTGTTTCATAATAATAATAATAATAAAATTATAGTAAGGACAAGGGAATGAAAATTCAAAAAGAAGGAAAAGAGGAAAAGTCAGAAATCAAGGTTCCGTGCGTCGTAATAATATCTGAAACGGTTTAGATGAACTTTAAGTAATTTCAAAACAATTTGTTTCGTTTTATTTTTTCCTGTTTCTGATGACGTGAAGACTACAGATGAAATGAACTGCGCTCGGTGCCTGCAGTTCCCTCGCAATGCATTCGTTAATAATCAGTAAATTGCAAATTTGGTACGGCATAATGTCATTGGTAAATGTAGTGTGATGTTGATAAGTGCTTTGCAACTTCAGCCATCTCTATTAGTCCAAGAGTTTAATTTGCATGACACGTGGACAAAAACTAAAACTTTTCTCGCGAAATCTAAATTAAAAGATTGGAATCCCTTTCATTGTTCAACTGTGAAGCCATCAAGTCATATTGAAAGCATGGCACTCAGTTAGAAAATCATTAGAAGACGCAGATCCTCCTCTCTTGAGAAACCTCGCGTCTATTTAGAACTTTCTTGAGGCAAAATGACTGTGTGATGGTTAATTTAAATTTTAGTGCTACATGCATGCGACAGGCAGAAACATATCATGTCTGAACCAACCAGCAATTCAAAATTTATAATTGGTATAATTGCGCGATGGAAATTTGAATCAACAGGAAATCGCAGCTATATAAATAATATAGATTGTTCCTTGAAACTATAATGAAGAGTTTTGTCTATCTAAAACAGCAGCGTAAATGTCCAAAACATGAAGCGTTGTTCGCCCGTAATTTTTTTCCGATAGTCTCATTATATTATCGAATCACGTCATGTTTTGATATTGCCATCTGTTATGAGAAATTTAGCTACAAAGAGTAAATTCAGGATATTAATGGAATGCTAACTTAAAGATGATGTCGTTCTGTTAAAGTCTAAGAGTTGAGTTTATTTTGAAGGGACTCGTCACGATTGAAATCATTACGGAAGTACTTCTAATTTAATTTCACTTGTCACATATGTCAACTAAATCAAATCTGGTAGATGAGGCGCTTATTCACTCTGCCGCTCGGCGAGCGCTTCTCGCGCTCGCCGACAAATGGCGTTTGTTACGCGAGTTTTAATCGTTAAGATCAAGAGACTGGCTTTTCTGGCGATATTCTTGAGAATTTCAATCGAGAAAAACCTTAATTAAACTAATGATCATTGATCCGAGGCTAAGCCTGTAGCAGGCTTTTGCATAATTTATTCACACTAGACGAAAAAATAACAACGTATTATCCATCTGCCCTTCGGCTTGACTATTTAAAGGGACTTGTAAAGTTAGTATGCGTATTGAGTTGAAATTGAGGATTAGGAATTCTTTCGAGGTGTCTGATCATGATGTTCACAAATTCCATTCCGTTTCTCATTTAATTTTTCATGGTGGAATGATTTAGGTTCTGCTGAATGAATGACTACAATTTTGTTTAATTAATTGAAAGTACTGTTAAAATACATAATTTCAACATAGATGCAACATTCAAACTTTGCTGCTTATAAGCGACTCTTAGAAATCGTTGTTTAGCTTGACTATTGAAGGCCACAGGGATTTAGGTATAGCATTATTCATTGTTCACTCCACTCTTTTAGGACGAACAACTACGTATACATGATGCATACCAAAGCTAGACCGATAAATGAAATTTATACGATTTATGAGGTCACTCGTTTTTAGTTGGCGATCACAAATGTACCCTAAAGTTACTACTGGTTTTCCCCAAGCGATGGCAATGGCTACTGCTTTCGCCGAGAAGTCTAACTTTTCCATGCTCGTTTCTTTTCTCCCTCGTTTTGTTCCAATCAAATTTGTTATGTTCCGAAGCAAAGTCGTGTGGAAATACGAAAGAAACAACGGCACAGATTTCCCAAAGTTTACCTGACTCGAAGACGAGCAGTCATCTTGTTGCAGCTCGAAAAATGTTTCCCGTATAGGAAAACCTCTCCTTTTTCAATCAACCTCTTAGAACTGATACAGAAACCTTCCAGCACGAGAAAAGCGATTAAACGCTTCTTGAACAGGAGTTCTACGCAATGAATGAAATATATGGCTATTCGGAAAGCTTTAAGTTGCTTTGTAATCGACGAAAGTAGCTGGTTGGAGTAGATGCGGAGAAGGCGAACTTTTGTAACCAACCGCTCTATTCCATGCTCGTTTACTCCCTCGGTTCGTTCCAATCAAATTTGTTTTGCTCTAAAGCAAAGCCGTGTCGAACTACGAAAGAAAAATTTTTTAATCGGAATAACACGGCACAGATTTCTCAAAGTTTACCTTTCGCAGAGAAGTCGAACTTTTGTATCCCACCGCTTTGTTCCATGTTCGTTTCTTTTCTCCCCCTTTCGTTCCAATCAAACTTGTTATGTTCCAAAGCAAAGCCGTGTGGAAATACGAAAGAAACAACGGCACAGATTTCCCAAAGTTTACCTGATTCGAAGACCAGCAGTCATTGCAGCCGGCTCGACAAATGTTTCTCGTAGGGAAAACTCTCCTTTTTCGCTCGACCTCTTAGAACTGATATAGAAACCTTCTAGCACGAGAAAAGCGATTAAACGCTACTTGAATAGGAGCTCTACGCAATAAGTTAAATATAAGACTGTTCGAAAAGCTTTAAATCGCTTTGCTTTGCGACGAAAGTGGCTGGTTGGAGTCAGAGCGGAGAAGGCTTGTTGAAACGCCGATGCGATGTTATCGTTTGTGCTGTGCGATATCGTCAAAGTTGAAACACCTCAGTTTTTTCACGTGTTTAGCTCACATTTAGACATAGATCAACAAATCATCCAGAATCAACCTTTAAAACAAATGCCATAAAGAAAACGAAGGTTGACTAACCGAGTAAAGAGCTTGGCCTGTTTTTTTTTGTTAGGATGCAGAGTAACTTCCGCGCCCGATCTTCGCCTCGTGGGAAGACTTATTGTGATTCACTTTATCCTAGCCCAATAATTTGTGTATTGAATTAGAAGTTACCAAGGATTTTCCGGCCGCTTGTTGCTTCAATAAGGGTAATTTACTAGATGAAACCTCAGGTTACTAGATAATATACCTAATATACGCTTTCGAATCGAATGTATTTATGGCATCGTCATTGTCTGGCTGATTTCTTGGAAGGAGTGTCTCTCGATTACGTCACGACTCACAATGGGCTCCAGGTTTGACCGAGCAGAAAATGCCATGGTTGTCGCAGTACTTCTATATAGCCATGATGTACCACTCGTAGAGAGGCAAAACGGCTGGCCTCGTGAGTGTTTTCCTGTGACCTATTTCTGATAAAGTGAAAGTTACCTTATGGAAAGAAGGATACTGTGAAGCGTTGGACATAAAAATTTAAATAATGATGATTGCACCACGAGATAAAATGTGCAAAAATATTGTAGATCTCATTCAGTTTGATTGTAATTTGAGAGCGGGTCGCATTTGTCCATAACAATACTTTAGACACTTCAATGGAACTTCGTCGCATGACAAGCAACGCTGGTCCCCAATGCTAGGTGGATTAATGAATAAAGGGGGTAAGTTTCTAAAGAAACCGTGGTGCGACAATGGTGGGAGAGTATAACAGGGAATTAAATATCAACTGAGGTGATAACGTAAATTGGCCTCCGTAGAGAGTTTTAAAGCTGACGTTTCGAGCATTAGCCCTTCGTCAAACCTGCCTAGGTGGATGATATTGTTGGAGTTGATGTAAATTTAAGATATAATGTTTTAACTTGAACTGAAGATGGGGATATTTCTTCAATTGGGCTAGATTTAACGCAACGATAGAAACCGTCATGGAAAAAGTCATGTAGAAAGTGAAAAACATTAAAATAGTTTTTCAAATTATTTTTTGGCTTTTTTTTTGGTTTTCGCATACATTGGTTTCGAAATATAATTGAATCTGAATTGGCCTTAGAACAAAATACTATAATGGAAATAAAAAAGATTGAAATTTAAAATTGACAGATCAAGACGTGCCTTCGCAAAGTCGAAGGACCACAGTAGGAAGGCCTCACGGTCTTTTGATATTTTGAAAGGATCCTAAGATAATAGCCAATTCGAGGCTGAGATTTCAATGCATGGAGATATATATAATCAACAATTGCTCTATTATTAATAAACTTTGAAACCTTAGGACAGATGTGCGGATGAGATCATTATTTGTAATTAGTTGCTAACAAGAAGCCAAAGGAAACCTCAATACTGTTGCAGAATTGAAGCAAATTAATTGGATTGGGAATGATAGGATAGTGAGAAATCATTATGGCCTCCGCCCAGCAGGGGTGAAGATAAATAAGTTAAACGTAAAGTCAAGGAAGCCCAACATAGTTAGAATAGTATTAAAAATCAAGGGAAAAATTTCTGAAGATTACCATTAAAAAATTTCGCTTCTTAAAGAAACAGCCACACGACTGCTGGTATCAACTGATTGTAATCTCTTGATGGTATTGAAAGCAGAAACATTGTTCTCGACAAAAGTCTTTCTGGTAAAATTAACACTTAATGATACTAGATATTTCCAGTTTCGACACGTACGACTATTTTTATGTCTCTTTACCATGATAAATCAAGACTCGAACGCACCTCTCTAGTTTTTAATTACTACCAATCTACTACAGTTATGGTTCAACTCTTTGTGAGGCTCTACAGTTCCTTATGAGTTCCATGATTCCTGAATTTATTGCAGAACCTTATCGAGCCGGCCTGGGAAACAGCGTATAAACGCCTGTCATATTTTATTTTGTTGTCCCAACCAACGATTCAAAACATTGAGACGCTGTAGTTCTGCATTTGAACGAAATCTTAGTCTAACTGAACAGATCTCAATTCAGCCTCGGAGCAAGTTGTGAATAAAGAAGATACCGATTAACAAACACTATAAGAATCCAACCTGAACCTGCAGACATCCAGAATGCCACACGGAGAAGCTCGGTACAATCCAACAATTTTCCAAATCTGGAGAAGGCTGAAAAGAATGGGAATAATTTCGCCAAAAGGTTTTATCCTATCCATCATTTTCTGGAGTCTTTTCCTGACCTTTTCGTATTACGCTTACGTGGAAGTTAACAATAACCTCGCCAAATTACGGGTGCATAAAGTGACATTAGCCAAGTCGCTCATGGTACAAATTAACGAGACATTGTTCAACGGCCGTCAAGAAGAGGCTCTTCGATTGTTCAAGAAATACGCGAAATGGAACTCTAGTTTGGAGGATTTAGTGAAATTTGTGAAAAGAAATGCTTAGAACATCATTTTTAAGCTCTGGTTATTCATCGTTTGGAAGGTAACAAAAAAGTGATCAGTGAGCGTGCAATTGATCGGAAATATAGTGATGTTTGTCGAGGAAGGATCCAAGAAGTAGATTATTTGACACTGCCTTATACTTCTTACACCGAATGTCCTAATTACCAAAATAATGTTGACTATCTATGTGTGACTTATTAAAGTATTCATTTCTTTATATGTGTATTTAATTAATTTGAGGAAAACTGCTGAGCATAAAGATTCCAACGGTGTATAATTGTTTTCCAAACCTTCAAACCCCTTAATGACTGTAGGCTAAAGAATGTAGACTATTTTTTGGTAGCAATTGAATTAAATTTTTCACATTAATGATCTCAAAAAGTTAAAATTGTGAATTAAGTAACATAGTGCACTCAGTGTACCTAATCAACATTGTTAATCTGAAGAAATGACACACATGTATAGGGAGTGCAAGTCAGCAGGTAATTAAGCAACTAATAATAGGGAAGGTATGGTGGATCTTTAAACTGTCAACCACTGTCAAAAGGTAGTGTCTAACCCTAACCCTAAGGCACACTTTTGAAACATAAGTGTGTGACATGAAAAGCAAATGATTTGGCTGGTACAAACCACTGATGGCAGCAAAGAAACAGTACTTAGTGGATGTTTGCAGTTTATTACTGCTGTTCAAACAAGATGAGTTACTTCATTCTACTTCACAGAAAGTAAAATTAAGATGAAAGCATTTTATTTTGGAACTGCAAATCACAGATATCTTTCATTCCTGAAGAACAGAAAACTACATAATTATACATGAGTGATATTTACATCCTTTTAATATAGCCACTGTGTGTATTAAATATTCAGTTTTTTTAGTAACGTCTGTGAGCTCTGCACAGTTCCTACTGCTCCTTTTGAAGGCAATAAGTCCCATTACCAGAAGAAATCCATAATGGAAAAACCCTAGAGGAAACTGAAAGAAAGCACTGTGACAACCAAATCCACTTTTCTCAATGGTCACAATCTTCCCACTGCTTCTGTTTTTTATTTCAATTTTACAAATGACACTTCTCAACAATGTTACTGAACCATATAATATGTATTCATTTTGTCTACAGCAGCATGCATGGTTCTGTTCCAGGATAATCTGGGAGAGACAAATTGTACTTTTGTGCTAGTGAATCAGGAACAAATCTCCCTCCAAGAAAGTGAAATCTTCCTTCAAAGTGCTTTGCACAAAGCTTAGGTGCTGTCAGAGATATGAGGAAGTCTGGTTTTATCCCATCTGGATTTCCATTTTCTACATGCCATCCTTGATGAGAAATAAATGGGATACAAATAGATAAATATGAACCTAAACAATATAATAGACAAAACTGTGCAAGAATACTTAAATTAATGCTCCCTTTACTTTGTTTTTGGTAACTCTCATTTGACATTCTGGTGGTATTTTCAGTCATATGTTTGGAAGTATTTCCCTTACAACAAAGATCCCAAAGACCTCAGTAAATACAAGGGCTCTCTTTGACAGATATCCTTTTCAGGTGTTTTGACAAAGATAACTTATCATATGGAACCAACATTCAAACAATCAAGGACCACACAGAAGTAATAGAGGAATGATAAGGTAATTAAAACATATCTATACTACTCTTGGATAAATAAGAGTCATTTTAAATCTTATATTTATTTTCCCACTTGTACAAGAATTATCTTAACACTTTCAAAAAATCATATTTTTTCTACACATCAAACAAAAAGAAAAAAAATTTAAAAAATAAACAATGAATAATAACAAAAATAATAATAAATAATAATAAACTATCAATAGTCTTGCAGTCCCAGATGTGCATTATAGTTTTGGCATTATTGACTGGAAAATCTCTGAACTGAAGAAGATTGACTCAAAACACGCAAACTACTGAACATGCACAAGATGTTACGTCCTAAAGCAGATGTGGAAAGGCTGTTAACAATCCTAGAAAAGATGGAAGGGGTCTGATTGATGTAGAAACAGCATTCAAAACAGTAACAATAGGGCTCAATCCAAGGGCAATATCCAAAGCAGATGCTTGAATATGAAAGATCTAAAGCCAAAAATTCAATAACCAAGAAGGCTACTAAGTTCAAAAGGGAATTATAACAATGCCAGAGTTTGAGAACAGAGAGATGATTAAATCAGCCTCACAAAATGCTAAGGCCCTGAAACACATATTCAAGTTTCAGATGAAATCCATGGAAGAAGAAAAGTGGAAAGAGGGACTGAAATAAGCTGCACTCCCAGTTTCTAGTGATGATTTTTGGAAAAAAGGTGTGGCTTATCTGTGGGTCTATATGGTACTTGTCGCAGCTCAAGAACAGGCCATAAACACCAGAAACTACCAGGAGGTAATATGTGGCCAGCAAGTGGAGAGCATATTTATACAGATTGTGTTCGCAATATAAGAAGACAGAGGACCATATTATATCTGGATGTTAGGTATTAGTTAAAACAGAGTACATCTCCAGGCACAATAATGCTGCATTGAAGCATCTGTAAAGATCATGACATTGAGATAACAGACAAATGGTACCAACATGAGCCAGAGACTGTGATGCACAATAAAGACAACAACATCAGGGATGTGCCAGTCAATACTGACAGAACTATAACAGCAAACAGACCAGACATCCTAATTAAAGATTCAGTGAATTCCACCTGCAAACTGATTGATATGACTGTTCCATCAGATAGAAACATTGCTCTGAAGGAAATGGCAAAGAAAGCAAGTACAAAGACCTAGAACTAGAAATACAGAGAATGTGGCATATGAAAACCTAGTGATTCCTGTGGTTGTTGGTGCACTTGGTACAGTAAAGAAGGGGATGGTGGAAAACATAAAGAAAGTATCAGAAGCAGTTACTGTGACAGAGATTCAAAAGATCTGCATTCCAGGAATTGTGCAAATCCTCAGGAAGGTGCTTAATGTATGAACAGAATGACTGACTTGAGTAACTGATACCCTAGGTGCATGGTTTGCGCCCAGCTGATGCACAAAAAGAAAACCAGCAAAGACTGTGCTTGAAGAGATAATAATAATAATAATAAAATAAATTAATACACCATAAATACAAAGCTTCATCAAAAAACACAAATTGTACATGTTGTATATGGTACATTTTAAAGTCCCTATATACTGTGGTCTGTGTTCATATACAGTAAGTTCTGAAAAAAATGGGTTCACATCAGAAAGAAAAGAAATTTGTTTAATCTCACCTGAAGGAATATCAACTGAGCAAACAGGAATTGTAACTTCTTTTAAGGCCGATAATACATCTGCAAATGGTGGTCTTGCATTTCCCTTAAAACTAAAACCAAATATGGCATCCACAATAAACTTGTAGTCAGAATCAATCTGCGAAGGTTTTGGTATATCATCCATGAATGGGATGTCCATCCTTGCACACTGTGTAACTAGATTCTTAAAAAGCTGTTTTTCTGACTTCTTCGGGTAATATATCTTTGGATTGTATCCCTATAGAAATTTAAGAAAGTAGAAAACAATGTCAAAAAGTATTGATTAACACGTAACTTCTTCCTATAATATCCATACATTATTCAGCAAACAGGTAGTGAAAATACTCAACTTATCAGGTAGGAGTTGTAGTATCTTATTTACAAGGAAACATGTAGCAGCTAGAGGGGAGAATCAACAATCAGCTATATCTAGCTATAAGAAAGCAAAAATCAAGTTTGCATTTGGTCTCAGAAGGATCAGTTATTAATCCTCAGTAAAGCAACCCTATTCTCCAAAAGACTGTTTTCAGGGATGATTTGGTGGCATTTTAACCTTACAATTATTTTTCCCTAAAAGTTTTGGTTTTTAAGCATTCCATAAGGACATAAACAAGATTTTCAGGATTTCTAGGCAGGAGCATTATCTTAAACTAATACCAAATTCCCATAAGTAATTTACTTAGAAATGTGTAGCAGCCATAAGGGAGAATTAACAATTACATCTGGGAGTTAACCCTTTACACCCTAACATCATTATGCATATTCTCCATACTGTTCTCCATACATTTCCAAAGGTACTGACAAGGAGAATTTCTTTACCAATCAAAAGCCTTTTTAGATGGTGATCATTTCCTTTATTCTTGTGACCTTAATGCATGATTCAGGGGGTGATATTGTAAGGAGAAGTTAGATGCTAATCACTCTTCAGGGGTTAAAGGGTTTATAAAACAGAACCAGTTTGGGGGTCCAGGCTCATCTTATTTTTATAAGTCACCTTATGACAACCTTACATCATAACCAGTTCCCAGAGATTAAATTCTGGTTACCAAAACAAAAAGAAGCACTCTTTCTAATATAACATGATGTAATAAACTGCATGCCACACTGCCTGTGTTTGGAGCAAGCAGTGTGGCTGGTATCATTTTTTAGGAGATTTATGCTTAATACTTGGGATATTGGGGAGTTAAAAAGAGAAATGGTAATTTCTGCAGAAGAAAACATTCTATGGCTGATAAGCCTGTCTGTTCTCACAACTTATTTGCAAAATAATATTTTGACATTCCCATGAGCAACCAAAGAGGAATTTACATCATGAATACATTTTTAAACAGAAAGGTGGTGAGGAGAAAAAACACAAAATGTCTATTGCTTGATTTAACTTTAAATTCTAAGGAAGAACATTGCCAGAAATGCAAAACAGACAATGTACAGAATCAGGGTGATTTAATATTATCAACTGAGTTTATAAATTAAATTGGCCATTGTTAAGAGTTACACAACTGGCATTTTAAGCATTAGCCCTTCATCATTTACCGCCGCCTGGTTAGCTCAATTGGGAGAGCGCCGGACTGCTGTGCGGGAGGTCGAGAGTTCAATACCGGCCGGACCAACACTCAGGGTCTTAAAATTAACTGAGAAGAATATGCTTCCTTTCTCAACATCAAGAAATGGTTAGATATTCTAGTCTTCTCGGATAGGGACGAATAAATGGAGGTCCCGTCTCCTGCAGGGTTAGGGGTAGGAGACGTTAATTTCCCACGCACGAGATTACTGTGTGATGGATGTCCTCCCCTGGGGTGGGATGGGGGGGAAAAGGTGAGGTCGTTACATGGACTAAAGCGGCTGCCAGAGGCGCCTGATTATGCTGACGTCCGATCTCAACCTTAGTAAAAATTGTAAGCGCATTGAGATTCTTAAATGCGTATTTAAGAACGTTCATTATTATTATTATTATTATTATTATTATCATTTGCTCTGACAAAGGGCTAGTGCTCGAAATGTCAGCTTTGTAACTTTTTACAGTGGCCAATTTATGTTATCAACTCAGTTGATAATACTAAATCACCCTGTTGTGCTCTCCCACCAACGCAGCACCACAGTTTCTTTAGAAACTTACCCCCTTTAATGCAGAGAATTAACTTTTTGATATTGAAGGTGAAAGGGTTAGGAGACTGAAGTAACTTTTTGATTATTGAAGAGCCGGGGCAAAAGGTAAAGGAAATTTAGTGGCAATTTTTTTCTTCTTTTGCCAACTTTAAGTTGATGACTGAATCAATACTTAACTAAAGCATCAAAAATAATTTAAGAAATTTAAAAAACATTGTAATTCTATGGTTATCAGATAAACTTTCTCAACAACACCACCTCTAACAACAACGACGACAACAACAAACATGTAGACAACTAAACAAAAAAAAAACGAATTCTGCATGACAGGACCTCAAATTTTGTTCATTTAGAGATGAATATGGACACGAAACCTGAATGAGCTGAAATTTGGCCGAATTACTCAAGGACAGGCATGTAATCACGGTATATAGAATCAAATAACTTACCATGCGAGCTGAATTGAGATGGAAAAACGGAAAAGTCAAACTAGAGCCAATAGACCCATGGGCGAAAAACTTATCTTATTTCAGACTTAACTTACAAACAATTTGAGATGCCTGGCTGCTACCAATCCGTCTCCTCCATTATTTCCAGGACCACTACATACAAGAACGTTTGGATGATCTTGTCCTCTGGGATAAGCCTTGGTCAGTGCTACAGCCACACTCAGTCCTGCGAGCTCCATCAGCTGATCTACACTAAACGAATACTCATTAAATAACTCTAAATCTATATTTTGAGCCTCTTCTTGGCTCAAGTACTTCATAGTCGTTCCAACTGTACAAAATCTCCTAAACAAGCCAGCAGGAACACTAAAGAGAGAATGGATTCGAAAAAACATCAGCAAAGATACTCCACTTATGAGTCCTAAGAGCACGAACGCCGTCCATTCCATGCCCGCGATCCATCCAATTAAGCAGCGGTGTTTGATTTAACCATCTCCAAACATATTTGTTATGCGTCACGCCGCAAGTAATGATTTTCATAGTGCCGACTCATTTGCCATTTTTATCTTGTTTTAATCCTCAGTTCTAGAAAACTGTTCCCCTGATGGATCCTCACGAACCACATCTATCTCAAAAAACCTCGATGCCGAAGTGACCTTTATGGCGCTCATGCGGCGGCTGTGGCATCACGGTTTGCGAGGAAGCTCTTATTGGCGTTACTGCCCATGAATCTCGCGCGAGTTGGTAAGGAGTAGGAGGTAGGAGGGGGATGGGAGGGAGAAGGCAGGGAGGAGGTGGCAGTACACTGCGTGGGTCTGGTCGTTATTCCTGTATAATGTGACAGACCCTAACCTTAACTATATGACTATATAATAAAGGATACGGACGCACGAGCCTGTAAACTTGCCCATTCCATTCCATTTAGGCCTCCAATGCTATCCTTTCAGATGTAGATTGGTGAAATTCAGTAAGATAGTATCCTGAGTCCACTGAAATTAAAATAGTATCCATTGTGAAAGACTAGTGAAAGATGCTGAGTAAGTAAGAGGTGTGGGTGGAGTTCAGTTGATGACGAAGTCAAACAAAAGGGTTACTTCAGCGGACAAAATAACTTTTGTAAAGAAGTTCAAGTGTACATCAAAGCAAAAAAAACATAAGGCAACGTGGCAAACATGACAAAACCTATGGTGACAGCGTGACGAAAGGGAGGAGCTGGCAGTACACTGTGTGGGTCTAGCCGCTAATCCCGGCTGCATAAAAAGTGACAGACCCTGACCTCAGCTATATGACTATGTAATAAAGTAAGTAGACGCATAAGCTTGTAAACCTCCAAACCGAGTCTTGCCCATTCCACTCTATTTAAACCTCCAGCGCTATCTCTTCAGATGCAGATTGGTGAAATTCAGTGCGAAAGTATTCCATGCAAAGCCACTGAAGTGAAAATAATACCTTATGAAAAGACTAGTGAGAGATATTGAGTAAGTGAGAGTTGTGGGTGGAGTTCAGTAGATGACGAAGTCAAACAAAAGGGTTACTCCAACGGACAAAATAACTTTTGTAGGGAAGTCAAGTGTGCATCAAAACATAAGTCAACGTGGCAAAACATGACAAAGCCTAAGGTGACAGCGTGACATGACACGACATGACATGACAAAAAAGTGACGCCTCCGCAGTTATTCAAGACAAAGCACAAGAACGCTAAACGCCTTTCTAAACACTTTCAGAAGTCAGTTTTTGAAGAGGTGTTATCTTTGCAGAAGTCACGTGTGCATCAAAACAAAACAAAACATGAATCAACGTGGCAAAACATGACAAAGCCTAAGGTGACAGCGTGACATGACATGACATGACATGACAAAAGTGACGCCTCCGCAATTATTCAAGATAAAGCAGACCAACGCTCCACGCCTTGCCACATTCGTACTCAAACACTTTCAGCATTCAGTTCTCGAAGGGAGGCTCGGAGGCGTTCTCTTTGCAGCATATTGAACAGTCATACCTACAGCTTGCAATCAAGGTAATATTAGCACTTTGACATTATCTTAAAATTTCGTATTTGGAAGTTTCATATCTTTATCATTTCTCAAGCGGTGAACTCGGTCAAACTGATCGAATTTAAACTGCGCTTGGGTTCAAATGTTAAACTTAAAATAGTTTCCCCTGTGTGGAGTTTATTTTCACCATATGAAGCTGAATTTGCACGGAAAAAAAGTCTTCTTGACATTGATGATCTGCTTCTGAAAAAATTGATGCGTAGGTAGATTTGCTTTCTTGCTTTGTTTTATCAAAGGTAAACTAATCATTACTAGACGTCTAATTTATTTGCATGAAATCTCTTTAGCTAATAATTCGCTTTCGGCTCCATTGCTCCTTCTGGCATTTTCCAAATGACCTACACATATAATCTTTGTGCAAATATATTGCATATTTTTTCTGGATTTTTTAATATCTGGAGCTTGCTTGCAATGAGTACATTGCAACGCATAACAAAAAGTTATTTAGTCATACATTTTTGTTATTGCAAATAAGTGTCTATAAGAGCTTATTTTATTACTATTCTTGTACTCTTTAAGCACTAGGCGTTTGTCGGAGTCAATTATTCCATCGAATGCTAAAAGGCCCGAAATGTCGGCCATTAAAAACCAATACGGCCGTTTCCCTTCCTTGGTCGAAATGTTTCACTCGCCCACCGACTCAGCACAACAGCTTATTTGGATATTGGTAGCTTCTGAATAAATTGTTGTCAGCCTGACATGAAAGACGTCTATTGTAATGAAAATATCCTGATCGCGGCAATCATGCAATGGTCTATGGATGATATTAATTGAAAATACGTCTATAAAACGTAAACTGCTTCTAGTTAAGGTAATTAGGGACTCTCTGGTCATGTCACTGCGTCAATCTACGGAACAATCGTTGCTGGCGATTAATCAGTGAAAGGTTTTGATTATAAGTTTTTATAGGGGGAACACAAATCAAAGTTTAGGTAAAGATATCTGTACCTCTTACAAAACATTTAGCGAAATTATCAGATACCTACAGTCTAAAGAACAGAATAGCTTATTCAGTCATCAGTACATTCTAGTTGTTAAGGGCACAATCTTATTTTCTCTAGACTGATGTTAACTTGCGTTAATATGCTTTAGTTGGCCTACCGGTTGGTTGTACGACTCGACTGTTGTAATTTGACCTTTGATACATACGATGGCGTTACGCGTCTATTGAAATCACTCCTGCACAATTGTCGATAACCAAACCTTTCCGAACAACACAAAGTCGACAAGCGTGGCTTTCCGAACAGCACACGGTCGACAAGCGTAGCTTTCCGAACAGCACGCAATCAAAAAGCGAACCTCTCCGACAACACGCGGTCGACAAGCATGGATTTCAGAGCATCACGCGGTCGACAAGCGTGGCTTTCCGAACAGCACATGGCCGAAAAGCCCGACTTTCTGCCCTAAGAAAAGCTTGTCTCAATCAAAAGCAATTGCAAGTACAGTGAGCGGCTTTTGTTTCACCGATAGCAACTAGGCGGATAGAATCTCTCTTACGGCATCCCCTCTTAACAATATATGATATTGACAATAATATGATAACAATAATGAGTTGAAATGATAAAAATTTTTCATTCTTTTAGGGACTTTTGTTCCTCCAAAATCCCGTCTTCCTCACTGTAAGCCTGGAGATTACTGATTGATTTCGGTGTGTTTTCTCTTAATTCTTTTTGCATAGCTTGCACAAGACGTACTATCATGGCCTATGAAGGATACACCACTTTTAAAGTAGAGATCAAGGAAGGTGTGGCGTGGGTCACATTTGACTTTCCTCCAGTGAATGTCCAAGGAAAGCCGATGTTGAACGATCTCAATCGTTTGGCCGAAACTTTGGAACCGGATCGCTCCATCAAAGTCGTGGTATTTCAGTCTGCCCATCCTGACATTTTTGTTTGCCATGCAGATATCGACATGTTAACCGAGATTCCGGCTAAAGAACGCTCCATGGACGAACCTTTACTGTACCTGCAGCAGGTGCTACAAAGGATCAGTGCTCTCCCTCAGGCGACTATTGCCAAGGTAGAAGGAATGGCCCGCGGAGGTGGTCACGAATTCATGCTGGCTTGTGACATGCGTTTCGCCGCCAGGGGGAAGGCAGTTTTCATGCAAATGGAGGTCGGTATGGGCATAGTTCCATGCGGCGGGGGAACGCAACGACTTCCACGCCAGGTCGGTATGGGTCGAGCCATGGAGATTATCCTAGGGGCGCATGACTTTGATGCTGACTTGGCAGAACGATACGGAAGCATCAACCGAGCGCTGGACCCAAACGAAATTGGGCCATTTGTGGAAGAGCTGGCTAACCGTATAGCTAAGTTCCCTGCAGGTTCCATTACAGCGTGCAAAAGGAGTGTTCTGGCTGCTGTTGAAACTCCGATTGAAGAGGGCCTAAAGATCGAGGCATACCAGCTAGGGCAAGCCATGTCCACGACCCCTGGAGCTAAAAGATTTGCTTTTGGAAAGGAACAGGGCATCCAGGATGATTTGGAAACCCAGAAGAACTGGGACAAAGGAGTTATGGACATCCAAGCAGTTCAATAACTAAGCATTTTTCTTTAGCTGAGTTTGCATAGAAAGACTGTCTTCACCAATATGTAGGTTCTGATTACATTTGAACTAGGAAATAACAGCTGCAGTTATATGTATTGTAAACATGATTTGGTATGTCTATCGATTATCTTTGTCCATGTCAGTTTCCTTTTCCTTCGGCAATGGAATATTAAAGTTTGGGCATTGCAGGACGAAAACCTGTTTGCTGGTGGTCTCTTTAACAGGTGCACTTAGATGAGTAAAGAGTCTTCTTTAATTCTTTCACCCCTCACTGACAGTGACTGGCAAATAATTTATCCTTAAAATAGCACTCCCCGCCGAGACAAACACTAAGGTCATAAGAATAAATGAAATGATCACCAACTTGAAGAGCCCTTGATTGTTAAACGTATTTTCCATGTTCGTACCGTGGGAACTGTGGGAAATGTACGGAGAGAAAATTGGAACATGCATACTGTTGTTAAGTTATGAATGATTAAGAGTTGTCGGTTAATGCCGTGAGGCATTTGTTTAGAATGAAACACACTTTCTACTCTTCAACCTCAAATTACTTCCTTTCAACATAGTCCAAAAATTGCAAAATAATGAATGGAATCGATGACAATTTCATCCATAGATCAGTGAACACGGCTAGGACTCCTCAGCTTTTTAAATCGTTGGATACGGCTTTTGTAACAAATTTCTATAATACACATTAAAATTAAAACCAAAACAAGAAACCCCCAAGGGTCGTTGGCTCGAGGTTCGCATACTTCGAAAACTTTGTTACTTTTCTTTTTTTTAGTAAATTTGTTTGGGTGTCCTGTTTTTGGTTTTAGGTTTTTGTTTTTGTTTCTGTTTCTGCTCTTCTGTTTTGTTTTTCGTCTGTTTTTTAAACGAATGAAATAAAGGATTTCAAGAAAGAAGACTTCATAAAATAGAGTATTTTCATTGAGGGGAATATTTTAACAGGCCTCCGCTAGCCTTCATTGATGGGAATATCTCAAGACGCCTCCGCTAGCCTAATCACTCATCAGCAGTCCTGATGATCTCCACTGTAGCATTCACAAATTCGCACCTCGGGTACCATTTGAGGTCCATTCTATCAAGGTTAGCTCGGTATCATGAAACAAGGATAATAAGTCTAGACAAAGAATAACGAACAAGCAAAAAGAAAGTTAGAGCATGCAATTTCGAGTTTGGCCGAGTATCGAGTCCTCATAATAGTCTCAGATTTTCCCGTGTTCCCCGCTCGTTTTGATACAACCATCTAACATCTTTTTTATAACGATGCAGAGAGATCTTTAAACTGAAGCAGGAGTGAAAGTCGTTCGTAAGTAGTGAAAGATATCTGTGTGTTTGGAACAGATGCAACTCTCTTCATGGCCTCGACTTGTATTCTAAATAAATATCAAACTTTTAAATATATTCATAATTTGTTGTAAAAGGATCATCTGATCAAATAGTAAAAGTAGCTAGTATAACATGATCAGGGAACGAAAGATATCAAACCGAAGATGCGTTTTTCAAAATGAGCTTTCTCTCAAGAGGCTAGTTTTCTACATGCAACATTTGCTTTTTTCTCGTCAACAATTTTTAGATAATTTTTTAAATCCTATTTCTATGAATAAAAAACTTAATAATTTAATTGCAAATCAAAATCATTTTAATCATCCATTCTTCATGAAAGTCCTTGAAATTGAATGCGTTCTTTCTCAGAGTTCAATAGAGACACATTTCGTTCTGTTTGGTCAGGTTTGAACCTCCGCCGGGGAAAATGTAACTCATTTTCCATGTGCTATTGAATTCTCCTTTACAAAAGAGCTCACCTTAACATCTGCTAAGCGATTTTTAATTGCTTCGTTGGTTTAAAGGAACCTATAGCCGACGTTATTTAAACAGGTTTCGATGACTCAATGAATCTTGAGATATTTAAGGCTTCAGTTGATTTTCTCTGATAATTCTAACTACATGTGTTGTGCTTTCTGTAGCAATTTCTTATCATGAGACACATTCTGGTTGCTTTAGTTTTGTGTCTAGGCGCTGTGTACGCCCAGAGTCCTGAGGGTATGTATCAGATTGAAAAGTTTCATGAAATTACGAGTATAGATCAAAATTGCTAGATATTTTATAATACGCGCTGAATTTACACCAGTACCCAAAGAACTATTAACTACTAACTCAGATCACCCATCTTATCATGTTTCATTTAGCTCCACAAGTCTTAGATATCCCTCATAGTTAATTTGACATATTACGAACTTTCTTGATTGCCTCATTTCTCTTAAATCGAATTTCCATGATTTCAAAGGTCTACAATGTTCCCACGATTTAATTGTGGGGAAAGTCATACATTTTTTTTAAGACTAAAGAAAACATAAAAGGAAGTTTGAAATTGAAGTTGAAGTTCGAGGCGCATTATGTAATTTTGTTTTTTATGGACCATTGCACCATAAACCAATAACTCTGCTGAGGCATTCTCCAGAATATGACCGGCTTATTTCGTGTTTCCTATCTTGTCACATGTGATGAGTCCTTGTATATTTTTATCTTCAGCTCCGTCTTATAATTCGCCTTCCATCGCACATATATATCTTACACAACGAATATTTTGTACTCTTCAAAGATGTTGCAAATTGTTATACCTATGTAGCTATACTTGTGGTTGGTAAGCAAGTTTTTCTTGCTTCCTGACTGATTTTGCTAAGTTAATTCATTAACCAAATCTTCATTACTCTAAATGCATCAGAGAACCAAGATTCCATTAATCCGGACCTGTTTGAAGGAGATATGATTCTAGAACCAGGTCAGCGATTGGCGGCTGAGTTTGGGCTTGATCTTGATGGGCTTAACCGTGGAAGCGTCAGAAACCGACAGTGGCCAAATGGAATTGTTCCTTACAATATTCACTCCAGTCTTGGTAACGATCGTTCTACATAGTTAGAATTATTGGTGGAATGATATACTGTTTTATATATAGCAACTTAATCAGAACTTTGTCAAGAAACCACAATAACCAAAACCCCCAAAATGATTGCCCATGTTACCTCCCTTGAAATTTGCGAGATCTCAATTTATTTACCCTCGATACTAGTTTTTGTTTTTAATCTCATTGCTATTTCGTTTGCTTTTGTTCTTGATACATTATTTTCCTTTTTTTTACCTATAATTTTTTTATTCGCCAATTGTACTAGCCACGCAACCAAAGGCAATGAAAGCAATCCAAGCTGGTATGGATCTCTGGAGCAGCAAAACCTGCATCCGGTTTGTTCAGAGGACGGATGAGAAAGCTTACATAGAGTTCTTCAAAGGGAGAGGGTATGGAATAAACCGTTGAACGAATTTTTACACTCAACAGATCTAAAGGACCAGTTATTAGTTGTAAACGAGGGTGGGGGAGGGAAGAGGGGGGGGGGGGGGAAAGGGGAAGGATGGAGGATTTAATGAAGGATTTACAGGGGGAATGGAGAGATCAGGGGGAGAACATAAGAATATTCTAGTGCCCTAATTTTATCGTGGCAAAACCAAAATCACCACCCTTCCCCGGACATGAATAATGGCCAATCCCTAAACTCTGATGGACAGTGCCATAGAAACGAAATCATTTTCTTCTTGTAGAATGACTTTGGTTTTGTAAAGTAGGCAAGATTTGATGATTAAAATCTCGCGAGGTCTTGCAGTCTTGCAATCACTATGATAATGTCATCGTATGACTTGAGATAAAAAAAAAAAAGATTATTGTAACAAACTTTTTCAAAAAAATTTCTTTCGCTAGTTGTTGGTCATACGTGGGACGAATCGGAAAGAAACAACTACTCAGTTTAGCGGCAGGATGTTGGGGCAAGGGTACAGTGTCACACGAAATCGGTAAGTTCGAATGAACAATCCCGGAAGTAATCGACATTACTTTGATTTTCCTTTACTAGAGCAGATGCTTTTCGATCGAGTGTCGTAAAACTAAGACTAAAGGAGCAATGGTCAATAAAAACAGAATGAAAAATCACGATTAGCCAATTAGAATTCAAAGTAAAAAAGCACACAAGCTGGAAATGCCATAGACAATAAAGGCGTGATTGGTTTTAGTTTTAAAGGATCCTAGTCAAGAACAAGGCATTGCGCGCTTGGTCCGCTATTTACTATGCCATATAATTTCGTGAAATTTTCATTGTGGTCTATCATCCTATTGCATCCAAGAAATTTAAATATATCGAGGTCTTGAATTGTCGCAACAGTCCTCTGAAATCATCAGTTGTTTATTCTGGGTAGTTATTGTAGAGGTTTCTTGCAATTTTCTTGAGAAATTTTTGTTTGTAATAGGACCGTCGATAGCATCTCGCGTTCCTTAACATGGAACGACTAAAGCCACATGGCAGATAGAAAGGATTCTTCTTAGAATCGCATGATATTTCGTTACAAAAGGCAATATTTTCATCTGAGAGCTAATTTCTTTAATTTGTTTTAAGAGACCCTTCTCTATCGGAGCAGATAACTCCAGACACATGTTTCTCCAGAACTTCGTCGGGCATCTTCTGTTCCCTTCTTTACGCGTATTTTGAAACTTTTTAGGTTGTTATTAAAGGTGGAGCGCGCTTCTAATTTACGAATCCTTTACTTACTCCTGGTAATTGTTGACGGGCCAGCACGACTCCTGCCAGGCGTTCAGTGTAATATGAACGATTTTTCCCGCAGTTGCCCGTATGTAAATGAAACCAATGGCGTGGTTCACTCGAATAAGAATATGGCATGGGTTCTAAGGACCAACCAAGGCACCAGTGAAGCTTGTACAGTATCGCAAAACTTTATCGAAATGAGCCCTCATCCTTTTTTCAGTTTCATAACCGGGCACCCTCCTGCTCCACAAACGCTGAAAAAAACTCTTTCGCTAACTTACTCAAAAAGGATAAAAATGGAATTTCTTTTTCCTTTGCAGCCCATGCCCTCGGGTTTTTCCACGAGCAATCCCGCCCTGACAGAGATGATCACGTGACTATACACTTTGAGAACATTAAAGATGGTAGGTCATGAGGGGACGCAAGCGGCCTCAACTGTAAGTACTTTTTAGAAATGCTAGGATATTATCCTAGCATTCCTAACATTCCGAGCTGCGCGAGAGTGTCAAAACCCGTGCGTATGTCACAGAAATGTCACTAGACCTAAAGTACGCCAGATGAGGGCGAATAAATCGTGTGGATATATTTCTCTTTATAATCTACAATGTAACGCAAAGGAACCGGCCGAGCAATAAAGACACTATTGATTGCGTGTGAAACAAAAGCATTAGCTGATGACATTTTGATATCAGGTATTAATTCATTGATCTACTCATATTTATTCGCCCTCATCTGGCGTACTTTAGGTCTAGTGACATTTCTGACATACGCACGGATTTTGACACTCTCGCGTAGCTCGGAATGTTAGGAATGCTAGGATAATATCCTAGCATTTCTGACAAGTACTTACAGTTGAGGACGCTTGCGTCCCCTCATGCTATTATTATTAGCTTTAGCCCTATTGTGTATGGATACGATTTGTCTGCTACCTGCCTCGACAAAAGACACTGAACATTTTTCAATATTCCGAATTGTATACAGGTTAATAAATAACTTGGATTGTCATACATATTAGCTAGACTTACTATAGAAAATATCTGCTTGGTCGAGAGCATTCAGTCAATGTACAATAGCGGGTGAAGTTGAAATGATAACCTAATATCTGCAACGGATATTTCATATATCATGTCGAGTTCAAAGTCTGCCTAGTTTCCAAGTCCCTTGTCCGTATAGTGTTCTCTAACTTTTGCATACTCAGTTCAGTTGTTTTTAAAAAACTGTAAAATATAACAATTATTAAATTCGATTTTCACATGATGTCATTAATCATCGCGTAAAAGTCATCTGCCTCAACCTTCGGCTTTGGCAAATAACTCACATACAATAATTCATGATAACATGCTCAACGTCATCCAATAATTGCTTAATTGCTCCAGTTCAACATCGTCGATCGTAACATACCTACCAGCGTTTTTTAATCAAAGGCGAGGGAGTTCATCATCACAGTGCTAGCACTTCTATCGGTCACTCGATCATATCCGAATAACACGTTTTCAGAGACAGGCCATATTCAAGCTATATGTAGGATTTTCCAAAATTAAGTAAGTCTTGGCAATGAAAATTGACGCAAACGTGTGTCCAGTGCTCCATCACCTCAGTGATGGAGCAGCATAGATCTGCTTTTGCTATCAAAATGATTCAAGTTCATTCTACATACTACCTTTCAATCTCAAAAATACGCCTATTAAGGCGAAAAAATATCAAAATCTTCCGTTGCGAGTGAGGTGTTGGTTGGCAGACTTTGGCTAGAATGCGATTGAGTTTTCAACATGGCGAGCGTAACGATTGCATTGTACATCGTTGTCATGATGTGTCTCTAAACTAGAGCGAGATCAAGATAAGCATGGAAACAGGCCAAATTATTTTTGACACCATTCTCTTCTCTTGATCTATTTTCTTGTAGGAAGAGCCGGAAACTTCAGAAAGTACCGAACGTCTTCTGCCAATACGCTTCTAACCGCGTACGATTATGGCAGTGTAATGCATTATGGGGCCAGATATTTCAGTAAGAATAGAAAGCCGACAATCGTGCCCAAGAAGAGCGGGGTAGGTGTAAAGTTTCACGAAGCTCGAGGGTCATCAATCAAACCATGAAAAAAAAAAACCAATAAAACAGAAAACAAACAAGCACCCAAATTAACATTGTCTTCACGCCACTCCTGGTTAATTTTAAACCGTTTTGGAGAATACGCATCGTTTCCTGAAGGAAAGTTGTCTTTTCACCGAGAGATCAAACAATTTGGCATACTTCTCCTGATCACTTGATTTTACCTTAAAGAGATAAAAATTTCGGCTATACCAAATTCCAGAAATAGAGCCAATTTTTTAACCAGCTTTAGTGTAAATACTCCATACTCTTAGGATCAGCAATGTTGAGGCGTCGGGTTTGAAAATTTTGAGCTCGGTAAAGAAATAGCTTGTGATTTTTTTCCCTCCTGTCACGAGCGTAAGACAGAGAAAAACCCTTTGAGTCACTAATGATGACAGAAATAATTAGGATGATGATGATGATGATGATATTTAGAATACGATTACCTGACAAAAGTGCAAGTCGAAGGACTGTAAGGTTTATTATGAATTTTCGGAGATCTTAAGCGTGAATACCCATCTGTAATGTAAAATTAACTTCAGTAACATTGGTTTTTTTTTTTATTTCTGGTATTCTGTGTAGGTTTTCATTGGTCAACGAGCTGGTCCCAGCGCAACGGATGTTCTTGAAATGAACTCTGTCTACAAATGCAGTGGACCAAGTTCTTTCGGTAAATTCAGACCATGAGACGATTGAAAAGATAGAAGAGTGTAAACAGAATTTTTGAAAAAGATGCATTTAGTTTAAATAATGGTCGATTAAAATATAATATAGGTTTAATTGGTGCTCTTACTGAGAGCCAAATCCGTTGATCTGGAAATCTGTCTAACTAGATCTAACACGGAAATATGGTCTAAGTACAGTGTTAAGTTTGTACAATCACTCTTCTTCTCTACGAGTCAGCAGCAAACAAAATTAAATTGCCCGTTTGGTGATAAGACACACGGAGCATTAGGTGTATGTACACGAAAAGATTCAGTTGATTATCTCTTGTGTATACTGGAAACGGAGCTAATCAGTCGAGGGAGAGCGAGATTGTGTCGAGGGAGAGCGATCGGTTTAGTTTGCCAATAAAGTTTAAAGTTAGAACTACGTCGGAGTCAGTATGCAATGTTCCTGCAAGAACGCTCACCAGTAAGATTCTGCTTCAGGTTGGTGCCGAGACAAATACCCTAGATGGTGCCAACAGAACAGAAGATACTGCCACTGGCACAGTCACATGAAAGGAAAATGCAATCGAACCTGCTCGTTATGCTAAAAAGGTAAGTTAGATTAAAATATAATTTTAAAATGTATATATCAGAAAGAAAACGGCTACGAGTCTAAAAAGTAAATTTACTGCATGCACATTCATGCTTGTATATCAACATAAGCTTAGATATAAGCCAATCAGTCAATGAGATTTCGGGCTTATATCAGAGCTTACTAAAACCACACATTAATAACATTAAAAAAACATATGAACGATCCTCGACCAACTTGAGCAGCCCATTTTGCATAATAACGTGGCTCATTATGAAAATGAAAGATGGACAAAACTAAACACAGCTGAAAAATTAAGTTGCGCAGTTCAATTACCATTATTAACATAGCAGAGTGCACCTTTGTCTCACGGCAGTGATAAGCGAATTATAAAAGAGGTATAATGTTACATCAAAATTGCACCACTAAACAACGCTCAATTCCACTCTTTTTTAGACCCTTTTGAAATAATGCAGTTTAAGTGTTAAATCGTGGGAGTTTGGTCGCCACCACTGACTAAGGGGTAAAAAGAAATGCTGAAATGCGATTGATTGTTATGTTTTGGTGTTCCCGAAGTTCTTCTTCGCCTGCAAAAGAAGAAAAGATACGATTTAGAGGAAACGATCGATAATGCGGTTCGTGAGTAGATTGCACTGCTAAAAACCAATCAAATTGAAAGACTACAAGAGCTTTAAAATGGATTTAAAAAGAAACGTCTAACTGTCTCTGAAAATTTTTGCACAGAATGGGTAATTGATACAATAACAATACTCTTAACTTTCAACTTAATGCAGAAAATGTTTCTATGTTAACAATTATGTATTATCTCTAACACTTAACACTCCGATCATAAATATTCCATTTCCTTTCCTCTCGCAGGTCAGGTCCACTGTTGGAGAAAATACGTCATTTAACACACCAAAAATCAATAAATACATTGAAATTATAGAATTAAATGACAGTTTTTCACCTTTTCTTGCTATCGCCCAATAGTCGGTCAAACGCTCTCTCAGACCACGTAGGTAAAACAGACGAAGAAAAAGGAAAAAAAATAGAAAGAAAGAGAGAAAGAAAAGAATTAATAGATTGAAGCTAAATAAAGCAAAAGGGTCGTAGCCTAATTAGTTGTCGGATGTTGTATCAGCTGGAAAAAAAAAGACAATACACCATAATACTGAGTTTAGTGCATGAGCGCCTGATTACTCCCTTACTTCTGATTTCTCACTTCTGAGAATGAAATAAGACCCTTTCCCGAGTTGATTGGTCTTAATTTGCAAAAAGCGATCGAAAGATTGAATGACGAGTATCCCGTAACCATGCAGTGACAATTCATACAAAAATGCTGTTTTTTTTTTTTACCTAAGTTAATTGCTGTCCGTTCGAGCTGAGTTGATCAAAGGCCCAGTGCTGGTTTGACCTGCGCAATGTTATCAAAGAAGCAGGAAACCATTATTATGACACAACATGAAGAAAAAATTTAAAATTGCAGTGTTTCTAATATTATATTATATCGCCAGTAAATCGATGTTTTGCTTAATAATAACGTTCTATAGTTAATTTGATATGATTTTTACATAAACGACCGATCCAAATGAAATATCGGGATCTCAGGTAAAAAAATAGGCTCATTTCCTTAGGTGGAGTGGTTTTGACGCAGTTTTAATACAACTTCGGCAAACTATTCGTAAAATTCGAACAAAATCAGCATCCTATATATTAAAATAGAATGGAACAGTAGTAGGAAAAAATCAAATAAAAAAGCGCTCTGTAACAGACAGCTAGTCTTTGATAACTTCATTCGCTTGTCGTCGATATGCTGTGGGCAGTCACGATTTTACAATCAGGAATTTTTTTTTGTAAACTCGATATAACGCCAGTATATACAATGGATGAACGATAAGGCCGACACAAAGGTCAGTCAGGGCCAATTCAAACAGGACATAGTTCGATGTTGTGCGCATAGACGAAACCAGCATAAAACTGAAAATAATTAAGATGTTTCCCACAGCTGCTGTGAACATGAGCCCGATATTGAAGATAACATTCAACAATATTGTGTATTCGTATTTCCCGATGAGTATTATAACTGGAACATTTATGAAGCATTCACTTAGAGATGCGTTTAATGTTTAACTCATCTCTGAAAATGCCGCTTCGTATTTGTTTTCAAACCCGCGCTTATCGGGCATCGATTTTGACCTTTCTTTGATTTACATACGTCCATAACTTCATTTTTGTTCAGATTAGCATGGTGGTGCGAAATTTCTCTGAACAAAGAAAACTATATCAAAAGGTAAATAAGTTAGTCCAGTTCATTTACTACACTTGACTAATTAAATTTCCTAATTACATTGCAATAAATAAAACTAACCAAAATTTACTTGAAGAATGTCTCGGGGTGGATTCTATAGCAGTATTAAAATAACACTTTTCCTCGTTTAATGTTTATTGCGCATGCTGTTGTATATTTATGGTCTAAGGTTTTTTTTTCTCTCTTTTCTTTAAGCTCAAGTGAGAAGTGTTCGGGGGATGGGGGTAGGGAGATGACCAAATCCCAAATAAAAATTTGGCAAATTCTCTCCATTTCTGATATTTGTTATTTTGTACGTAAATTACTGTTCGAGTATTGCAAAAGCTTTGAGTTTGAAATGATTTCCAATTGTCCATTGGCAACAATACCGCGTTAATTGGCAAACCATTTGTCAGCGATCCCAAGATCTTCGCTTTCAATATCGCAGGATATTTATCTGAATCATATGGCTAAATATCATCCGCAAAGGCAGTTACAGAAACTTCTCTTCGGGAATAGAATAAATCGTCATAATAAAATATTAAATAAATTCGTGCATGGTCATGGAATAATATTAGGAAAAAACCAAAAACACGAGTACACTGTACCAGACAGCTAGTCTTTGATAGCTTCATTCGCTTGCAGCATCCAGACAAAAGATACGACGATAAGTTCTCTTGACGGCGATTCGAAAATCCCTAAGCCGTAAACAGTACATTATTGGATTCAAAGAGGAGTTGGAGAACATTAATGTTACAGTGAACTCGTATATCAAAACCACACTAACGTTTGGAGCGCCGCTTAAGATCTTGTTTACAGCTGTGGTCACGAAAAAGGGAAAGTAGCATACCAAGAAGGCAAAAAATACGTAGAACGTGTTTATTGCGGATCTCCTTTGTTTTTTCAATCGATTTGTTTCGCTCTGTTCGCTCTGTGCTTCCATTTGATCGCGGATTTGGGCTTTATGGCGCCTCACAACCAGGTAAATTTTGATATACACTGCAAATGTAGCCACCAGTGAAATTGCTATGACAACTGCTCCAAGAGTTGAATACACATGGAACCCTTCCATCCAAACCAAGCTAAGTAAGGCGTTAGTCGCCCAGATAGACAACTGCACTAGACTGACTCGTTTTTCGGTGACAAGTAGTGGATATCTCAAATGCAGCCGAATCGCCAGAAATCGATCTAAACCAATAAATGTGATGTATAACAGCGAGACACCCGCAAAAAATGTCGTCGATACGCTGTAGGCAGTCACGATATTACAATCAGGAATGGCATTTTTGTAGACTCGATATAACACCAGTATATACAATGGGTGAACGATAAGGCCGACACCAAGGTCAGTCAGGGCCAATCCAAACAGGACATAGTTCGATGTTGTACGCAGAGACGAAACCAGCATAAAACTGAGAATAATCAAAATGTTTCCCACAGCTGCTGTGAACGTGAGCCCGATATTGAAGATAACATTCAACAATATTGCGTATTCGTATTTCCCAATAAGTATTGTGACTGGAACATCTATGGAGCATTCACTTTTAGATGCATTCAGTGGCAAATTCATCACTAACAGTGTTGTTTCCTTTCAATCCCACGCCAATCTTGACCTTTTCTTGGTGTCACTGTTGATATAAGAAGGCTTGATGCGTTCTCCGATGGTTATCAGCGGCTAATTACGCAAAACACGAAGGTGTCCGATCGAGAGTCATTTATTTAAATAGCTTAGTCATTTAAATAGCTTGTTGCCCTATGCCGGGGTCAGTATTAACATATAGAATACAGTGTTACGAGATATTATTATGGCAGCCGCTATTGCTCGGGTCGGCGAAAAAAGTGAATTCTTATAAACTAAAATGAAATAATTTTCTCGCACACGTTTTCTAAGGGGATATAACAAAAAAATTAGTCAGAGTCTAACGGCTTAGAAAATCAAGCAGCATCTGTGTCTGTCAAAATGGGATGAAAGATGAAAGGCAGGTGTTCTTGCATTAATTAGTTTTACCCTCCATCCTTCATAATTAGCCGCTTACAAAATGTTCATCCTCTTTCTCATCTTGATTTGGTAATGTACTGTTTTGCTCTACGCAATTGTCACGAATCAGAAGTTGAAGGTACTTAATTATTAACGTCGTAAAAGTATTTTTAACTGGATGTAAGCGCTTGTTTATCCAAACAACCACTGAAATATCATCAGTCATTGAAAGGGTACCATCTTGGTTTAAAATAGATTGCGGAAAAACCAACTAAATAAAGTGATCTCGGGGGAAAATGCAACAGGCGATGAGCATGCTCCATCAAATATTTTTCTTGGTTTAGTTATCATGATCACACAATAGCTTTCAAAAATATTGTGTATAGATAGGCTATAGAAGCGAGAGAGTGCTATCCTCTTTTAATTTTCTAGAAATTTCCCCCTTTTGGGCTGATTAGAACTTACCAACACAATTACTCCTGAGTTGTACGACACGGGAAAAAAAAAACAGCTTGTATGGTATATTTTTGTAACGTGATATCGAAGGTTGAATACAAACAAAGATGATTTACTGCTCGATAAACCTATATAATTATATATGCTTATTTTAAACTATTAAATGGCCGATGAAGAATACGCATGAAGTGTTCAAAAAGGTTTAAAACATAAAGGAAATATTTTCAAAATTTCAATCATTTCCTCGTGTGCTTACCCCTTCTCTCTCCTTGAGTTAAATTAAGAAGCTACTTCTTTGCGTTGTCGGAATTTGAAATGTGCCCCATCTTTTCCGACGGCGGAAATGACAAATTATTCTGTTCTAAAACTTCACACCGGCTCCAATCTTTTCCGGCCAAGTTCTTTCGAAAACAAAACACAATCCCAGACTATTTGTAACCAAACAAGTATGTTTACTAAACTCAGTAGCGAGAATGAAATGGTAGATATTGTCGGTTGAAAAAATAAAATTGAAAAATGAAAAAAAATTTAAATGGCAACGCTGTTGGGAACTCGCTCCGGTAGCAGCCAAGGATAGGGAAATTCCAGAGACGCGTTGCGTTCCTTGATGGCATCCGATATCCGCTGAAGGGAAGACTGGAAACGAGAAACAGCATTCTCCACTTCTTTCCCTGTCAAAGAGCTCTGAGAATAGTCTCCAATGAAACGCTGCAAAACAGAAAGTTCCAAGTGAACTAATTCAGAGTTCCTGGAGATCTAAGTGCATCTGGCCAAACAACATCTACGCACCATAATACCACAAACAAAGTCTAATTGAGGGAAATTTCACTGTTCAAATTATGTTATCCCAGGTCCAAACAACTATTAGTGTCATTATTAACATAATGATTATAATGAGTATAACCAGTCGTAAAGTTCTATTTCTACATTAGTAGTTCCTCTTTTACGCAAAAATTCCTTTCCCGCAAAAACCACAACTGTAAGTTCCTACCTCGTTTTCTGCCATTCTCGTAAGAGTGTACACAGTAGCAACGTGCCAGCCAGTTTGATAGTGGCTGGGTAATGTATCCATGATGGTCTTCAGAGTTACTTCATTCTTTCCAGTTGGTGGTGGAAGACGCATTACAGGTGGGACATTCGGGACGAAGCCGGTAAATTCCATCTGAGCGTAGTTAACCGCTGCGTGTTGACATGAACACCCAAACACTATACACGTCAGTAGGTGAACCAGCTGATCACGTTTCTGTAAACTTCTGGGAAACTCGTGGTCAACATCGCCTTCTCTTACAGGGAAACCGTTTTCGTGTATATCCTTCACGAAGGACTGCAACTCATGATCCTTAATAACATCTTCGTCTGACGCATAGAAGATGGCGACGAATTCCTGTAGGAAATCTGAGATGGCATTCCACATAAGGAGCCCGTCATCCCTGATGTGTACAGTAAATATGGTTAGGAAATTGATAGAAATAACGTGTCACACTTTTCGAAGATAAAAGGCTTATTAGGCTGGCCGATATGTCACTTGTTTCTTATAGATTCACCCAAAATGGCTAACCATAATCATGCCTCAATCAACCTACAAAGCCTTTTTAACCCTGCATCTTTGTGAAAGAAGGTTTACCAAATAATTTATTCAATCATCGTTGATTTGGTCTTATCAAATGAGTTGATAATGTAAATTGGCCACTTTGAAGAGTTGCTGAGCTAACGTTTCGAGCATTAGCCCTATTTCGTTAGCCCTTCGTCATTCACTCTGATAGAGGGCTAATTCTCGAAACGTCAGCTTAGAAACTCTTCACGGTGGCCAATTAACATTATCAACTCTCTCGTTAAAACCACATTATTCATCGAAAGCTTACCTGTAGAAGTAATTAGGCAACTTTTCAATGTCTTCCACACCTCTTTTTTTCAACATGCCTGGCAAAGAGAGCATTTCAAACTTGAAATTCTTGTACGTTTTTTCCAGTAGTTGAATGTGCCCTCCACCGCCAATGCTCAGAGTTTTGTCGCAAATGCCTCCTTTTGCAATCAATTCATTTCTTCCAATGGTGTTGATGGCCATTACTGAACGAAGATGAGGAAAGAGAAGCTGAAAGATAGGATGAATAGACGGCAATTGCCGCCATGAGGCAACAGCAAACGCTTCCATCAGCAAATGAGTTTTTGTCAAGTGGGTCCCCATCTATGAAAAACAATAGACACACTCGTGATTATTACATACCTTATTACATCAGATCTTTGTTAATGAGTTCGCATTTGAAGATGAAATGTCTCTTTGCATTCTCGTAAGGGATTCCTCTTCCCATGAGATATACATATTTAGACATTAAAAAATTGGTAGGATTGTAGCCTACTTGGTCGCGTTGGTAAGACGCAACTTTAAAAATCGGATGGTGTCCACCAATCTAACAGACCTCACTTGCCCAGGATGAATTCGACCAAGCATTCTGGTACTGACCTGATGCACTTGATGGTCTGCATTTCGAAACCACATTTTCGCCAGGAGCCAATCATAATGCGTGTCACCGGGAGTCCATATTGGGTTATTTTCACTGGGTTCTTGGAAAAGTTGAATTGCAATAGGCACCAGGTCTCCTGAATTCTTAACATAAAAGAGACAAATAGGCTCAGCCGCGTAGTGAGATTTGTAGTTGCTGTCCTTACCACCGCGTTTGATTCCCCTGAGTTCCTTGTAGTCAACAATGAAGACATGTCCAGCCTGATTAAAAGAAAGAGATGTTAGTATCAGCTATCTGCTATTGTGAAATGTCAGGCCCGAGTTGGCGATCAAAGGCGCAAGTCTATCACGGTTAGCTGCATTGCATAACCGACTTGTAGCTTTGATTAAATTAAGTCACTCAGCGTCAACTGAAGTAACCAACCAGACGGGCTATAATATTCTAAAGAAGCCTTTATTATTAATTAATGTAGCTTGAACTTAATTCCCTGATGGATTATATAAACGAGTTTCTAGTCCATTTGGAATGTTTTGTTCAACAATGGGATTCTGTTTACAAATGCAGAGACCTGACTGGTCAATTTTGACTAATATCAGTGCTCATATAAAAATGCGGATGACTCAGCACCGTCTCTTATGATGATTGATGGAAATTTGTGAGCCTTTCTCGATGAACTTCAGCGAAGAGCACTTGTTTCATTGTGGTGTGATTGTTTGTTTGCTTTTAGTTTCTTTCTTTTGCGCAATACTAACCTTAATTTCTTCAGCCAATGTCATTCCTCGGTCGAGAAACTTTGCCACCATTTCGTCTGAAACAGGAAAGTTGATTGGCAGCTCGTCGCATCGTTCGATAACACATGGATTGCAGCCGTTTAGGAACTGGTAGCCAAACATCCTATCTTCCATCCAGAGATTATTTTGGGAAATTTTAGGTATATCTCCTGTCCAGCCAGTAAAGACTCTCTGAAAGCTTTCAAAGCTGTCCCAACTGCTGAAAATACTGCGTAGATAAGAAATCCCAAGATTGATCACCCCATGAAGACGGCCATCACGAAATGAGCGTGACTCCTCGTCAGAAAACTGCGCATCTCTTGGGAGATCACCATGTTTAGGAGCATGAATGAAACCTGGCAAATCGTTTACACCGGGTGGAAGACGTCCCCAGAGGTATTGTTCCTTACGGTCTTGTATCTCAAGAATGCGTTGGTTCTTTATTACTTCTGGTTGATCTTGGAAAGGAAGGACGGCTATATACACATAAAAAATGTTAATTGGTTAGATATGACGTACTAATCTCGAGCAATCTCATTAGCCATCACAATAAGAATGCCCATGGATATAATCTACGACGCCTGACGAAGTAGACATTTTAAAACTGAGATGAACAGGGTATTGCAACGAGAATAGATACACACATAGTGAGAAGTAGCGCAATAAAAAATGATCTCAAAAAATAGTTTTTCACAAGCATTAGTCGCTTTATCATTTCAAGCTGATATACGCAATTAGTGCTTGCTTTCGATTTATCTTATAACGAGGTACGTTGTAAACTCGATGCTTTCAGTCTTGCGAAACCTATCGTTCTGAAGAAAAGATGTGACGAATGATACTCTTATTTGCTTTATTCTGCACAAGTGTGAAGTTCCTTAATTGATGGATGGCGTTGAAATGCACTTGCGCTCATTTTGAAGTAAGCTCATTCAGGATTATACTTCAAGCTGAGATATTAGATTTCAGTGAATAGAATTACCTTTTCCTATAAAAAGAGTCATATCGGAAACCACCCAGCGAAAACATGGAAATTCAAAAGGGTCTTTTTGCTCAGAGCTCGTCACAGTGATCCTGTTAACGAACCAATGTGGATGTTTGTGCCACGAATATGCACCGTCATTGTGAAGATGGATCATCAATATCTCTCCAACATCCATCGCTTGTAGGGTGTATTCGTCCTTGTGTCCAGCTTCTAAGTCATTGGACCAAGAGGATAGAAAAAGCTTTTCAGTTTTTCCTCTAGTTCCTGAAGAGAACGCAACAAAAAACGTTTCAAAACATGTCTGAAAGTAACTGAATTAGCTTGAGGAGTATCAAAAAACCTTTTGGTTGTAAATACCTGTCAGTGATACCGAGATGTTAGCATCAGTTCCTGCTCTTAGCCTTTCACCAGTTTCCACCCTTATCCTATACGTGGCCACGTGATCTGGTTTTATGTTCGCCTTCCTACTTAATCTAATTGTCTGCGTCCTCTGGTACACCTCTTTCCGTATGTGAGCTATACAGTTAGAGTGCTGGGTACCTCGTGCTTGCAGAAGGTAAATGGAGCTCGGTAGGTTTCCGACATTGAACCTCAATGCCTCGCTGGCTTGAGGGGATAGGATGGTGGTTAATGTGACATCAGCTACGTCCAACCAGGGATGAGCATTCTCGTCCCAGTATCGCCCGATATCAAGGATATTTGGAGGATCGTCTGATCGTACTTCGTGGAGAGTCAGTTGAAGCTTGTATTTGACTGGTCCACGAGATATTCTTGCCTTGAACTCTTCTGTCAAATATTCCTTTGGTCTAGTTTCCGTTTGATATCTTTCCTGCTCCCTTAAAAAAGAAATACAACAGGAACAGTAATTAAAAGGCTAACTTAACTGATTGCAATGGATAGGAAGAAACTCAAAATTTGTTGGAAACCCTTTTTAACAATTAATATACAAGTATACTTAGGGCATGAAATGGCTGCAATACTTCCATTGTTGTAGTTTTATTTTGCATTACCAGTGTAAGGAACGTAAGGAAAAAACACAAAACAAAACGCAATCTAATAATTAATTATAAAATGGTTGTTTAAGTGCAGAGAGTGTGGCAGGTTATTTCCTCGCTCTGGAAGTAAAGAGAGATGTATGTAAGGTGGTGCGGAAGATTTGTTTTATTAGGTAGGGAATAATTACACCATACAGTAATGTACTTGGTACAGCCACTAGGTAGTTAAAGCTGTCTTTAATTAATTATACCAGCTTACCAGGCCTTTCTTTGCTCATCTTTTGAAAGCAAACCCGTTTCCAGCGACCCGTCAGCTGGCACCAGTCGGAATCTAACGTAACTCTCAACGCTGTCAAAGGCCTTCAGGCCCATTATCGTTTCGGAGTAATATCGCTGGTCGTAATATGAGTTTGGTGCACGCCGCAGACCGTCTATATTACTGGCAAATCTGAAATTTAAAGGAGAAAAGTGTAAATAATTGAAATCAGCACTAGGCATGGTACACCTTTCTAAATAAATAATGATCAGCCATGTAGACTTTGAGTAAATTTCCATTTGTGTAAATATCCCTTGTCAATGTACTCATATTCGAGTTTTTGCAACCCAGTAAACAAGTCATGTGCGAGCACTGCATCAAAAGTTAGGTTTGCATACCAACGCACTTGTTGGACTTTTGCAGGTGGCTGAATATTGTTTTCCTAAGCGTACCAGCGCTTAGGAAAGCAAAGAAAACACGAGTCATTAATATGCTATTTTTATATCCTATCTTGACATTTTCTGCGATGTATAAATATACAGACGCACGGCAACATAGAACTTTATATGCAATTGTAACATTTGTTTATTTACTTATTGTTTTGTTTTTTTGATTTGTTTCTACAGTTGCCTCCTATTCATGTACCATCTACATCTTTTATACTTTTGGAACGCATCCAGCAACGCTTTCTAGAATGCAACTTACCGAACGGGATTATTTAGATAGAACTCTTTCACATTACCACTTCGATAGGATTCCAGTGCATCATAAATCGTCTGTACATTCGATAAGACGGCTGGCCGCCCAGTTGACATGATAATATCCAAAGGGCTGTCTTCTTGGTCGCTATCTGCAAATCGTATCGAGGCGCCCCGAAAATCTGACATCGCGTCATCTTTACCTTTCAGGGAAGCGTGGCGAAGACAGACCCGAAAAGATTTACCAGGTGTAAGGAACTCACAAGAAGGGAATTTTGGCTCCGACACAACAGTTGCAATCCCCTGGGCTGCGACACCAATGGCATGCGTTGGACGCTCTCCGCTGAACAGAGCAATTGCGCCAAAGATACTTTTGAGTTTCTCCTTTTCAATGCCAAGTTTAACTCCATCAAAGATACTTTTTGGTAGGATCTGTCACGAAAAGCGGCATTGATTACGAAATAATCACGATGGCCTTGTCCATGGTTGATTTGTTACACTACATTCATATTATGAAAATATTGTCCATAAGGATCTGCATTTCTTCCCTCGTGTGCAATCATTACTTATTTCTCTGAAATGCACTCTTTTCACAAGAAAAAGGAAATACATAAATCAAAGAAGTGACAAAATAGTTTTTTTCTATGTTTTCTCTTTCCTCTTTGGATGTATTATATGCTTACTATGCTTTGGAAGCACACAATGTGACATGCACAGTCAGAAGAAAAAGACAATTTTTAAAATGTTGCAGGAGTAGCATTAATTTCTTTTTCTTTTTTTTTTTTTTTTTTACTTTCATGATGTGTTAAATGTTTGACATGTTATTAGACGCACACCGCTTGTAAAGCTTTGAACTTAGGATTCTTACCGTATCTGCCTCCTTCATCTTTCTTTCGAAGTCTTTTTCCCCCTTGATTTCCTTGTAAATTTCGTAGCCGTGGTTTTCCCCTGAAATAGATGTCTATGACATGAGGCGACTCCAAACTTTATCTAGTTATTTTTAATTTTTTTTTGCTGAGGGCGGATAGCAGTTTTAGCATAATTGCTCAGGGTCTTTCGAATTCTGTTGTAAATTTTAAAATAAAGAAAGAAATGCACATATTTTGTTACTATCGTTTTGATTAATCTTGACAAGATAAGATAAGATAATATAAGAAATCAGTTTAAGCTGGTGTTCTACTAGACTCATCAGCATATTTTGTATTCTTCGCAATTGAATTTTCTTCTTTCGCGTTCATCACTTCCTCGGAAACACTGACAAAACGCGAGGCAGCCATTTTGAAATTAAGTGGCGATCTCTATGAGAGCGGTCCGGGGCATTTCGCATCGGAAAAAGTTTTGCTTCAAACTTTTCCCATTAAACTATCTTTGGTAGTAAGTAAATAAACCACTTTGGTTTTTGGAAATACGTTAAAAAATATTTTTTGAGAGCTCTCAATAATCAAAGCTGCAAAAGGCCCTTTTTAGCTCATTCATGCTGAAAACAGTGAATAAGATATTGTGGTGAAGCAGGTGTTGACGGAAGTTGTCGACCAAGGGCAGAAGTTTTATTCCGTGGACGGAAGTTGCATTGTGGACTGTGAACGGAAGTAGTCTCGCATGCTACCCCTCCCTACTGAGTGAAAGTCAAAATTAATTTGGACGAAGCTCAGAAACTCATGTGGTAAAAAATAAAAATGTCTGTATGGTTTAATGAAAATAATAACCTCAATTCACGTTTCCGAACTTCTAAAAATGCCACTTAAATCGAGAAGCCGAAATGTTTACACCCAGGGGACCCGTAGCGGGTTAATTTCAACACACGTTGTGACCACGCAGAAGATCAGCAAAGGCAGCCTTATTGGTAAGGCGCGCATTTGCGTTCATCTTCAGTTGGTATGAATTAATCATTGCTCTTTCACTGCGCTTGTCCTTCACCGTAGTGACTTCAAACTTTTGGTGTTTTTGCTACCGCGACAGCAGAATTATGCAAATTATCTGTGTGGCAAACTCCGACAATTCTATATTCGTAGCGCCATGAATCTTAGATTAGACAGAGCTTTTAGAACACACTGATTGAAACTCTACACATTTCAAACAGCTAACATCTGGCAAATGATTCTGTCTCGTGACGAATAAGGTAAACGTATCAAATGTCATATTGAATAGCGTTCGGTCAACGTTTTAATAAGAAACTCTTTTGAAAAAAATTAACATTTCAAACTAAACATAGTAATTTATTAGTGTAACCGGCGATAACTACAAGCAGTTCCTCTTTTTCGGCGATGTCCGTCGCGCGAGTCGAAAAATTCAGTGAAGGAAAAATTGATATTGGTGCCTCACTCCAAGAACTCCCAGCGGCACGCTAACATCTCTCTTTCATTTTTTTTAACTCTGATTTTTTTTTTTTTTTTTTTTTTTTGACTCGCGCGACGGACTTGGCTGAAGAGGAGGGACTGCTCAGAATCAACAACAGCACATACTGAAATTCACCGTGACCAGTGACTCAGTCACGCATTCATCTAAATAAGGCAGCGATAACGTGACTTTTTGCTCGGAATTCTAGCCGTGTTTGCGCTTGACGGGAGCAGAGAAATATGACTTAAGATCAGCGAGAGGAAATGTCAAGAATCCAATGCAAGTTTTCGGTGCGTGCATTGACAGCATCGCTGACGCTGTAAAAAAGCTCTTCTCCCAAGCGGTTTAGTTCGCGTATGATTATGAAAAATCTTTAAAACCATCCGCACCCTCAGCTACAGTATTTTCTGGACTCCACAATTATTTCTTCTTTGTGACCTATTGTATTCTCCTCATGGAGGATTTACTTATCGGTTGAAATCGATGTTCTTTGGAATGGTCCATGGGCTGTTAATAATGGTACACATAGCAACTGTGCGCACCACGTTAGGCATGACAAATTCTCCACTGCTTGTAACTTTGATGTTGCAAGTGCCGTATGCTACGCCTTGATAGTAGTATGGCCTCATTGTGAACTCTAGGAGAAGTGGTTCAGCTGACGCTATTCTATGCGAATTGTGTGCCGCAATAGGCACCCCGGAGCCCCCACTCTTCGCTTGTGCTCAGTGCCGTCTTTATTTGTCTATCGGAAAGGTTTTCAATAGGCTGATGTATGTTTTTAGAGGCGTTGGCTGAGAATCTATTGGCATTAATACTCAGGATTTTAAAGGGTCTTTCTGATAGGCGACGAGAAGGGACTTGAAGGCCATCACCAAAAGCTGCCTTACACCTCTGCTCATAATCTACGGCCGCTTGGAATGACGCTTTACCATCTCTTGGAGCCATGACATCGCATACCACCCGGCATGCTTCTCCAGCTTTTTGAATTGAAATACTCATATTTTTCGGGAAAGGGGCATTTTTCTTAACAACCTACTTGGGATTCCATTTGCGTAATCGCAGCATTAAAACGTTGACCGAACGCTAAGGATATGATATTCGATACGATGTCGAAGCGCTGTCGACTACTTTAGCCGATATATATGGAACAGTACTTAGCCCTGGAGATGCAATTGGAAAGTAAACTTGGGAACCGTAATAGTTGTATTCTGAGTAAGGATCGTTATGCAGCATACCGAGGTACGAATCTTCTATCTTCCACCGTTTGATTGCCGCGTAACTAAGAAATAATTTCGGCGGGCTTCGGATTGAAATACTCCGACTAAAAATAGAGATCAAATTTTCTTGATTGACATTTCCTTCAAATCATGGCGTGTAAATTGACAAATCTGTCAGATTTCACGCCTGACAAAAATTTGTCCTGCTTCGAGGCAGGACGACGGCGTCTTCGAAGTATGGTAAGCCTTGACAAAATTTGGTAGATCTTAAAAACATTGGGCGCACTTGACTCAGGGAACTGGTGACTGATTTTTCGGCAAAGTAAGCAAAAATTTGCCCAGTGCGTCCGGGCCCTTACAGAGATAGCCACTTAATTGCCTTAACTGAGGTGATTATAGCGAGGTACGACAGTGGCTTCTACCAAAATTGGAAAAAAAAATTCCCAGTCATTTACTTTGCGAATAATTTTTTCTCAAACAAAATTCACATACTTACATTCCATTTTGAATCCTTCTTAATATCCTGTGCGAGTAGACAAAGGAAAAACACAAGTCACAAACCAAGGCAGGCAAACTCCCCAAGGATCTCTCACAACTGAGCACGGTTTTCTGGGATGGTATATTACTGTGAGTAGTAGAGGTGGTTTCTCTGGTCCCTTACCAATCAGAGCGCCATATTAACGAAAGGAATTTCCAATGGACCGATCAGAGAAGCAAACTAAAGTCAAATTAGCTTACTTTGATTTTTCACACCATGCTTATTACATGTGTAGGGTGTCAAACAGTCGCGCATTAGCTTTAGAAAATGACGCTTTCTCTGTCTCAAGATGTCCAGCGCCGCGGTTTTCTTTAAATTTTTTGCGCCCTCCATGAAATGAGTTAATTGAATTTCGGAGACAACTCGAGTTGGGCTGCATCAAGCTGGGTAGTAATTTTACCTGTTATTCCGTGTGAAATCAGTGTTAGAAATCTGCTATCGATATTGTTGTATAGCACTGTGATGTTTCACGCTTATCTCTTGTAATCCCAAAACCCATCGTTCCAATTCGCCATGCAAATTTCTAACTTTAGAATGACTTGTAAAATTACTACTAGGCTAGTCACTCATTAGCTTTAGAAAATGAAACTTTCTCGGTCTCAAGATGTCCAGCGCCGCGGTTCTCTTTTTATTTCTTGCGCCCTCCACGAAATTAATTAAATTTCGGAGACAACTCGAGTTGGGCTGCATCAAGCTGGGTAGTAATTTTACTAGTCATTCCGTACGAAATCAACATCTGAAATCTGCTATCGATATTGTTGTATAGCACTGTGATGTTTTTTTCGCTTATCTCTTGTAATCCCAAAACCCATCGTTCCAATTCGCCATGCAAATTTCTAACTTTGGAATGACTTGTAAAATTACTACTAGGCTAGTCACTCATTAGCTTTAGAAAATGAAACTTTCTCGGTCTCAAGATGTCCAGCGCCGCGGTTCTCTTTTTATTTCTTGCGCCCTCCACGAAATTAATTAAATTTCGGAGACAACTCGAGTTGGGCTGCATCAAGCTGGGTAGTAATTTTACTAGTCATTCCGTGCGAAATCAACATCTGAAATCTGCTATCGATATTGTTGTATAGCACTGTGATGTTTTTTCGCTTATCTCTTGTAATCCCAAAACCCATCGTTCCAATTCGCCATGCAAATTTCTAACTTTGGAATGACTTGTAAAATCACTACTAGGATAAGAGCAGCCCAGTTAAATTAATTTCACAGAGGGGGCAAGAAATAACAAAATGTACCGGGGCGCGGACATTCTGAGAGAAAGAAATAGTCATTTTCTAAGATAAGCTGCAATAACTGCAGAATAGAGCAACTCGCACTCTTATGACCTGGCGCTGGCCAATTGTCAGAAATTTTGGAGTGGAAAAATCTTGACCATCAGCGGAACAAATAAAAGGTCACCATGGTTTTCAAATGCCTACATGGGTTAGCTCCGGACTATTTGACCTCGAAATTCTCCGAACGCAATACATGCAACAACTGAGAGAGTTCGAGAACAAACTGACTGATCGAATATCACACACAAATTATTTCAAAAATAGTCACAGTGGTAGCGCCACATTTTTTGCGGGGCTAGACGCGCGGAATCTCTTGAGTCGTTCAAAGGAGAGATCAACAAAGCTCTCTTAGCAATATACTGAAATTAATGGTGCGATTAACATAATTAAAAGTTTATAGTTTTTGATCTTTTGTAAATAGCTGATAAATTGCCCATGATTAAATAAAGTTTTTTTAAAGTAAAGTTTAGTTACCGAACAGCGAATAAATGTTGGGGATATTATACTGGTTTGTTGCAGTTTTGGATATTCGTTTAATATCTAAACGCAGAATGCTTAAGACTAACTAACGCAATGAGTCACAGTATATTGAAGTCATCAATCTTATTTCACTCTTAATAACCTTAGCTAAGACAACACTTCTTCTTTGACTTTTTCCTTTTTACACAAATATTTATCGCAAAAGAACAGAGTGCACTTTTACACGTTTTTCCTTTTCAAGCGGAAGCTAGAATAATTAACTTTATCTTGAGATTAGAACAGACATACAGCTACTCCAAATTCCAAGCATCAAGTGATTTTATTAACGAATTTGTCTTCTTTTGGAGGGGGGCTATCTAGTTTTTTGCATGTATCCGTTTGTATTTTCATAATTGATCTCGTTTTGGCTTACAAATGTGCGCTTTCAAAAGTTATTCTACCCGGTAGTTCCCCTGTACAGTTGGTCATTTTGTATAATGATTATCAGTTTTTTTGCTTCGGGTAATACTTACACATAATGTTAGCTACTTGCAAACTTACCTTGAGGTACCTCTTAGAGTGACTCGCTACACGTAAACCGCGAACTCAGTAATGTTGGGACCTAAAGGGGCGGTAAGTAAAGTGACTTAGATATGCTTTGGATGAGATTTTACCTAAAAGTCTGCCAAAATGCTCAGTGTTCAGCCTACCTTAATCATGATACTGTTACGTTATGCTGTTCTAAGAGAACAAAAGAGAGTATAAAGAAAGTCTTCCTGTTCAGAGAGGAGACTAACGCCCATTTAAGGGCCCTCTGGTCTTTGTTTTGTTTTGGTTTTTCAAGCGACTTTTCATTCAGAGACTCATTGTGGGTGATACATATCGACCAAATAAGATCGTGCTGGATTTTAAGGTGTAGGTACTCTAGCAGTAGTGAAAATAAGGCCTGAAAAAAATTCAGGCCTGTACGGGATTTGAACCCATGGGCTCTGCGATACCGGTGTAGTGCTCTATCAACTGAGCTAACAAGCCAACTGGAAGCTGGTCATCATTTTTTTTCTGGCCTAATTTTTGGATAAATTCGATAGATACACGAGGACTATTTTTGCTCTTCGGATATACATATTTAGCACAGCGTTAAAACAAATGAGTTTGAGCGAAGTTGTTGTTAGCAACCTATCCTGTATCGTTCAAGGAATAATCACATTTGAAGTGAAATGAATAGAATGCAATATTGATTTGGAAGGAAAATGACCGTGGCACATAGATACATTAGACTGTGAATGTGGAATATTTTACGAAAACACTTGACATCTCTGCCGATGTTATGACCTTAAAAAGAGACTATTCGCAAATGAAGAAGCATAGCGATCGGTCTGTGGATTACAAAGGTTTGCTAGACTCGTAGGAATTAATGGAAGGCACATGAACCCCTTTCATTTGTCAGAGATATTGGCAGATACCGCCTGAGGCTGAAATTTTGTCTTCTAGAATTCACAAATGCACAAGAGTTCTTGCTTATCGGCCGAAATTCCATTTTTCAGACAATATTTCAGCACCACAGCAATAACCCTCGATTCACAATTGACTTAAGAAAGCCAAAGGGAAACAGAAACGACGACAAGCAAAGACAAAAACAAAGGAACAAGATTTCAGTTCAAGCGATTTTCTCGACTAACGTGGGGAAAAAAATTATCCTCCTTAATTTTATGTGTGGAAGAAATATTTTTAAAGAAAAGTTAACATTCTTACCTTCTACTTTGTATCTTGTAGGGTAGATACAACAGAACTAACGGGTTGCAGTTAAAATTAAAAACATCAACATCTATCAAACGCTCGCATAACCTAAACTTGTAGCTAGTCTGGCAGGGCGTCGGCGACGGAGCCTCACAGTAAGGCTTATATCTTTTATTTGCAATTCAAACTTGGGTAAATGTTCGACGCTTCGTGCAATATTGTAACTGAAATGAAGATATTGTTAAACATATCATCATGATAATCCTAAACGTCGTAGGGTTTTTTTTTTGTCCAATAATTGTGCGAACATTGATGCTATGTTGATGATTAACGGGGTGCTCACAGTATGCTGCTAATGATTTTGATCAAAGCTTAATTAAGACTTTTCTTGTCATAACTTACAGTTACCATGGTAACTTGTTTTTTCGGACAGTGATCTCGAAATTACCTACACCGAAATGATGATCATCTGTTTATCAGTGAAGTTGATATTGCTTTTTACTGATCGATGAGTCGAAGAGTTCCTTTCTTTATATCTTTGGCGCAATCGACCATGTATTCTTTCGGGATTTCGGGATTATTCTAAATGTTAATTAAGATGCTCTTTAAGGTGGCGTTCGTGGAAACAAAATTCATCTTCTATCTTCCCTTATCAAATCTGTAATTAGTGTGGTGTTGATTGCGAATAGGACCCAAACTTAGTGTTGATTATGTATTGTTAACTCGCGAATGATTTATCGTAATCACCTTTCATTACGTAATGTTATGTAAATAGCAATAAAAGTATATTCAGTTGTGCATGTAACTTCGGTTAGGTCAACTCAAGTAAGTTAGTAGTTTTGTATCTATAGCGATTTTTTCGCATTCGTTTAAAACGTTATTCTTGCCTAAACTCATCAATCAAGCAGTTTAGTTCAAAGAGTACGAACTTTGTTAATTCTGAGAAATATATTTTTCAACAAACATGAAACGGTTCTTTTTAATGATTTAATTAGTTTTTTTTGTCAGTATTTCTTAATTGAATTTAAATGAAGGTCTAAGTGGGGTTGACCGTTAGTCGTAAAGAAGCCAAAAAATTAAGCGTAAAAATTGACGAATTTTAACCGGTAGTCGTAAAAAATGTTTTTCGCAAAAACGTTTCCTGTCTACGATGTGTCATTTTGAGAGTAGCAGCACGGAAAGAGATTAACTGTTAGCCGTAAAATGGCATCTTGTTTAATTGTTTGCCGTAAAAGCCATCAATGCATTGAGACCCTTTTTAATCCTTTCAAGGTGCTCCATACAATCATAATGTTGCTAAATCTATTTTAGTTTCTTCAGATCTTGACAGATAGTTTACAAAACTCAAGAACTTGAATCATTTTTGAAAGGGTCAAAAAAAACGTAAGAGTACATTCAGAGAACAGGATCCGACGTATAAACTTAATTGGATGTGACTTGCAAGTTCAGCCTTTGTTAATGCGTGATGTGTTCGACCGTTTGGCAGCCAAATTACTTAGGTTATCTTTTTTGAGTAGCTGAAGCAACAGCTCCACCCTGGGAAGAGTTTTCGCCACAAGAATTAAATTGTACAAGTTTGGGCCACAGGGATGGTTTCTCTTAGGTCATTTGCTTTTGGAAATTTTTACTTCATTTTTCTAGTGCAAGTTGCAGAATAATAAAGGAAAGTTTCAACAGTTTGAGATAAGTAGTTTATTGTTGGTGGTTCCTGAACGGTTCTAACAACGCGTACTGTGTTGAGATTTCTATATACCAGTTCTGTATACCAAACAACTATCAAAGGCACACATTTTAAAAATGTTTGGCATGATGCTTGGTTTTATGAAAGAGACTCCCGGTATTTGCTCATATGTGTCGCTATATCAACCGTTGTTTTTTTGAGTGGTGTGAGAAATTTAAATCGGAATCGGCTCTCCTCTTAACGGCGAACCATGTAAGTATGAATTAATGAATACATACATTAAGAATTATAAGTAAAAATGAAGACGTGAAAAATAAATAATTCGATAAATTGTAAGTACGCAATGGAATCTACGAGGGTTGCTTTTCGGCATTTTATTTAACATGCGGAAAAAAATTTGCGATAAGTTTTCTTGATAGCAGTCCTGAATCCTGAAAGACGTATACAATACATTATGGGATTTAAGGATGAATTTGAAAGCATTAGTGTCGCGGAAAACTCGAAGGCTAATACGTTAGTTTTGCTCAAAGAATTCGAAATGTTGTTCAGGACGGTAATTACGCAAAAAGGGAGATAACAAAGCAAAAATATAAAGAAAACATAGAGCGTGTTTATGGCAGATCTTCGTAAACGCTTGGAACGAAAATTCTCAAACTGCGACATCTGTGACTCCATTTGGTCTTGAATGTGAACCCTGTGCCTCTTAACAACTTGATATACTTTTGCATAAACAAAAAATGTGACCACAAGGGACATGGATACAACAACTGCTGCAAATGTTGAGTAAACACGAAATCCCTTAAGCCAAACAAGGTTAAGGAGGAAGTTGATTAACCACAAAGCTATCTGTGTCACACCAACTCTTTTTTCCGTCACCAATATTCGATATCGAAGGTGCAATTTAATCGCCAGATATCGATCCAGACCAATGATTGTGATATACAGAAGTGAAATACCACTTAGAAAGGACGTGGCAATGCTGTAAGCTGCCAAAACCGAACAGGGAGGAACTCTGTTATTGTATACGCAAAGTAAAACATGTATGTACAGAGGATGAACGATAAGTCCTACTCCAAGATCAGTCAACGCCAAACCGAAAATTAGATAATTTGAGATTGATCGCAAGGAGGGTACAAACACAAAGCTGAAAAGAATCGACACATTTCCCAAAACTGCAGTGAACGTGAGCAGAATGTTTGCCAAAATGTTGAACACTAAAGGCGTATTTTGTTCACCAATAAGTATCACAATAGGTGTCTCAATAAAACATTGAGTTTGAGCTTCGTTTGAAGTCTGACTCATTGACAGTCTGTATGAAACAGGACGGACATGCTCGACTTGATTTGATAGATGTCTCTCTTTTCGCTCCGTTTTATCCCATGGGTAAATTTGGAGGCCTCAAATTGAAGAATTCGTTTTGCAAATCTTCCCCTCAATTAACAAAAAGAGACAAAAAATTATATATTAAAAAAAAAGCACCTGTTGTCATAAAAGTCTCCAAAATAATTGGTCACGGCCGAAAGCGAATTTAAAAAAAAATGGTATTACTAAGAGCTATCAAAATCTATCGTGCTGTACTAAAAGTGGAAAAGTACTGACTGATTTAACCATTTTTCCGGCGATTTCCATCCTCATACAATCTTTTATTTCGTTGAAAAAAAAATTGTTACCTCTCCTCGAAACAGAATATTTTTGCAAATGGAAATAAAAACAAAAAAATATATATATATATTGCGAGTTACTATTGATCCTCCAAACATAATATTTTTGGTCAAGTCGAGACAATTTATTTTAATTATTGCACAATAAAACTACTTAAAAATAAACTTGGCAAAAAATTGTTTTTACTCCTTACAAATCTGCTTGCTGACGAAAGTTTTATTTAAAAGAAAGTTTTGATTATGGCTTGAATTGCGTTCTAGTTATTAGTTGCACAACCAGCAAGAATCGTATCGTACCTAAGAATCGTTAGTGTATGACTTGTAAATGGTAGCTGCAAAAAAAATATCACCGAGCAATTGACTCTACTAAAAATTTTGTATTTCTTATCCAAGTTTTAATATTTTGATCATAGAAGGAGCAGGCGAGACTAGCACAAGATCAAAGCCGGAAAAAGTTCAATGAAAATGTAAATTTCCTTTTTTCAAGCCCACTTTGTAATGAAAGGTTTTTTAAAAGAATCATAAAATTAAAACCATGTACACATGCAGACTCCATATCCCGCGATGCATCCACAATAATTGGCGACCAGAGAGAAAAAACCTAAATTTTCACGTTAATATGAGCTCGCAAAGAGGTGCTGTGTGTTCAATTACAAACTCTGTATAATAAATCCAATTTATAACCACGCAGGTGAATAGTGCTTTTCGCGCGCGCTGACTTGCTATTTGAAAGTGATAAGCACCACCGAGCAGCCGAAAAGACAAAATCGCGCATCAAGATTTTTAATTTTCGATCATTTAACTTTTTTATTTCTGTGAAGTATTAATTTTACTACAACAATTTTTCACCTCAGTATCGACGAAAATGGCGAATATTTAAGTCGCTGTTTGGCATCCGTTCCACTATCTCCATTTCAGTGAATTATTGTTAGCTATAGCTGAATGAAATAACTCATTTGAAATCCTGTTGAAACTTAGACAATCAAGCTGAGTGTCCTCATTGATAGAAACGTTTCAATTAGGTAAGAACCAGGCACACTGAAGATTTCATTGTCGTAAACTTTCAGTTAATGAAAATTTAAGGCCGGTCTTTCAGTCGTCGAGCAATGGGATGTGCTAAACTTGATTATATTTGTCTCGAAGATTTGCTGAGAACCTGTCAGGTCCAGAACACCTGTCAAATATCATAGGGGCTCTGTATCTGTATTTTATTTCATAACATGGCTTTATTTTCATTTTTCCAGGTAAGATTTCACAAGTAGGTCAGCCCAGAGCGAGCAAACCAGTGAGTTAGAAGAGATCCGTTCGGTGTTTTTAATCGCTCAAGGTTTTCCTTGATCTTATCAATCCAACATATAGCGGCTTGTACACCTGGTTGGAATATGTAGCCTTCACCCACCAAAAAATAAGTCGCCAAGGAGACTGTGGTGAAGGTGGAATAGTAAGCAAAGCCTTTCTCTCTTTACAGAAGGAATGTTTGAGGGAAACACACCAAAACACTCACTTTTAACGAAGGCCGTATATTATTCCCAACGTTTAAAACGGGCGACAACACGATATTCTGATTCAGTTAATCCTTTTTTCACACACTAAAACTCTCGGTTAAACCTCTCATTTCACGAGGGAATAAACAGTTGCCTGCCAACTCCTTACAATTTCCTATCATCTGACTGCGAACAGGTGATGTGTCACGGTGATTTAAGTAACACGGGATCCCCCGCGGGATTCCCGAAAACACGTGCAAACAAACGGAGAGGCATGTTGAGAATAAAATCCGCCATGTTGAGTTTATGTTTGTGTGAATGTGGTCCTCACTCGCCCATCGCGACATGATGGAAGTGGACAGAACTATCAATTAGGAAGCGTCGCACGGTAGTATATTAAACTATCTCAACAATCTTAACAAATATATGGGGCGATCAGTCGCAAACAGTAGGGAGAATCTATAATCACATCTACTTTGTCGATCTGTTTGAGGCTCTTGGGTAATCGTTCTGTAAGTACCTATAATATAAGTTCAGTTGATAATACCAAGGTCACGGGCCGAACAAAAGCAGCTTCAAAGCTTATTTAAGGCCTTTTTCTTATCAAATTAGCTCATAGGGCTAAATTATCATCATTCCATGCATCTGTTCAATCGTCCAGCCCCTTTGAAGTTACTTACAAACTCATGGATATCCTCTAAAAATTGGAAAACTAAGCGAAGGCCTCGAGCGTGCGCTTTCCGGACGCGTACCAAGAGACGCTTGCATACGCACGGTAATAAAAAATGAACACAGGGACTACGCCTCGTATTTCTCTCTACCCTTCCTGCGTGCTCTGTCCTCTTCCTACATGCTTTATAAGTAAACAGAGCACAGTCGAGGCTTCTCTATATATTAATAAGTAGTTCATAACAAGAAGATCGCAGAAAAGGAATAAGGAATAACTTGGCGTTTTGATTTGAATTTAGGCATTCAGTTAAGAAATCTTTTTGCTATCATGTCCCTAGTTTTTATTGTCAGTTAGATGAAAAGGAGGCTGTGGCAGAAAGCATCAGTGTGCGAAAAAATGTCTAATAATGACGATACTGTCTGCTTCTCCAGATTTATTCAATTAGTTCGAGCAGGTTTGAACGGATCGAGTGGGTTCGCAAAGACAAGATCTTGCTTTTCAATGAATTCCTCGCATAATGTATTGTGTGGTGTACTCAATGAGCCGTAAACTGAGATAAGAATCACTTTTATTTGCATTGACGTCTTAAACTAAAACAGTAATGTTTGTAAAACTGAAAATGTATGTTTCGATCCTCACGTCCAATGCGTCCAATGCGTCTGTCTAATCGTTTTAAGCATTATTTCTCGGAAAGCAGTTCGAAGGAAAGTAGTCCGAAGTTCTTGCAGCATGGATAAATGCTTCTCATCGAATAATTTTGTGTGGCGCCTTTTTGTCTGCAACTAGATCAAATTATCGAGCTAAAGAGTTAATAATGCTGCATTATTGTGACTTTTGAGTGAATATGATAAAAGCACGGTTTCGTTCTAATTCAAAAGGGTGGCCTGGATGAAATCTGAATGAAATGTTGATGGAAGTTGGCTGTCTTTCACACTAAATGTGTGGTTTGAAAGCGTTGGAGGGTTTATTTAGAGTCGCAACAAGTTATCCTTAGTGATGAAAGTGTGGTTGCCACGTCATCTTTATGATGAACTCAGTCTCTACTGAGAGAGAGGAAGCATGTTAACAACAGAAGAAAATCATTAGAAAAAGTCATGTTTCTTATTTCAATCAGTATTATGTGATTTTGAATTATTTTATTTTCCTCTCTTCCGTTGCTGCGACGATACTTTTTGATACACCTAGGACACTAGGATAAAGACACCTAGACAGTTTCTTAACGGAGAAATGTTGTTACTGAGCAGTGATAAGAATAAATTGAAAGAATAGTAAGCCAGGAGTAATAAATTATGCGAGTCATCTGATCCCGGACGCGCGCTTAACAAGCTAGAGGTAGAGATAGCCATCAGTTTCAATTGATCCATATTCTTTGTCTTTGAATGGTCGTGTAAACATGCAAATGAATTTCACCATTCGAACCAAACTGGTTCGTGTCTGTACCTTACAAATATTTTGGGGATTTCTGATCTTTGAAACTGCGCTTGATTCTTTAAGTGAAGATAAATGTTCTTCAACGAATAATAAAAAAAAAAAGACGCCCTACTGTTTGAAGATAGAGGCTCATTGTTTTTAATACAGCCTTGAGCGTTTGCATTAAGTGGTGAATGGACCAATGTTACGCAGTGCAGTTCAAAATAGGAAAGGGTGGCCGGAATGCAATTAGTTCGTTTTTTACGGATACACTGCATGTAAATGATGTTATTAATGGTATTAAGAGTTTGCTTTCATCCACTACGAGTCATTTCTAGGCAGGGATTTCTGGCGGTGAAGCTTCCTTATTGATAGGTGAGTCTAATGTGTATTAGGAGAATATTAAAACTTGTGAGTGGAGTTTTCCGGAGGTAAGTCATTCTTTAAAAGTGTTTGGTTTCATTTCGGCGTCATTTGTGTGCATTTTATCCTGTATTTTTATTTTTTTAATGCTCTATTTGTTTCGATGACTGAGCTGAACGCAAAGTGAGCATCAATTTTGAAACTTTAGAATTAAAGGATGAAGATGACGACGCTTTCATCCATTAGGAAAAGTTTGCAGACGAGGAAATCCACGTAAATTTCACCTGACATAGGCAAATCTCAGATCTCTTGTCCAATGACCGCACATGAAAGTTACAGTCGCATACCCGAGATAAGAACTTGATTTTTACGCCTAAAAAAGCGGAATATGAAACACCTATTGGGAAGATTACGAGCTTTCCATGATATCAATAATGCTTCTTTGCATCAGGCAAACGACTTGAATCCAAAGTCTGTGTCAACGTAAACTTCTAAAAACTCGTGAATACTTTTTTATGGATTGTTTATTCGAAAGTCATGGTTTTACGTTTAAATTTACCAATAGTAAGGCACATCTAAAAAACAACTGTGTAAATTTACAAATAGCTTTGGCCATCCGTTAAACTTGCAAAGTTCTGTTTAAACAACCTGATTGGTTTGTATTTATGCCTGATTAAAAGCATTGTGAGCATTTCCAGTTAGACTCGAATGTTT